TTATTATTTTTGCACCCTTTTCTATTGCGGCAATAATAAATGTATTGTATATTTGATGATCACTTTTGGCCTTTGTGCATTTGGTTTTGCACGACAAATTTTTGTCTATGCGTATATCTACAATATGACTTGTACGCATCATTGAAAAAGGTGCATTTCTCCAATAGTCGTCGCCTAAAGAGTCAAATAATATATATTGTTACAAAATATGTTGTTTATTTTTTAAGTAATATTGTTTACGGAATTTAGTATTATGATGTCGCTTCTACACGAATATTGAGTAACTAAATTACTTGCGTTCCTTTTTTTTACGTAGTATATGATTGGATAAATATTTTATATATTTTTTAGGCATTTAAATAATAAAAATAATAATAAATATGATTTAACTTGAAGATTGTTTCAACTCTTCGTACTTGTAGGAGATTGATCCTAAATTTAAGGACAAATTATTTTAATTCAACACTTTAAAATCTGGATAAAATATACTCTTTATCTTATTGATTTTAAATATAATTTCATAGAGCAATCGATTAAATTATATTAGAAAATTAAAATTTTTAAGTTAGTACTTACATAAATTCTACAAAAATATAATAAAATTTAAAATCGTCTAAAAAAATAATGTAAACAATTTTTATTTTTTTTTATTTCACGCAACTATTGATACGTTGATTGACTAATACGACAATTCGCGATCGATAAAAAAATTTACCCAATTCTGTAATTTCTAAAACGTTATCTCCGTCCACAATACTGACCGAAATGCCGACTAAAATTATGAATACGACCTGCATCTATACGTATTTATATTTTCTTAATTTATGCTAAAACAAAGCATTGACTTATTAAGTATTAAAATCAAATTACATATCTACCATTAACTGCAATCTTATCCGTTGATTAAAATTTTGATGGGACGGCTGACATTCCGGATTGATAGAGTAGCGTTGGGCGTGTAGTTATAAATTCAAAGTTAGGCTTTAGTACTAACCTATCAAAAGTAAAAATAAAAAAAATAAAAAAAAAATAAAAAAGTTAGGTTTTACAAATGAGATATTTTATTAATAATCGAGGAATGATATAATATATGATTTTCAAATAAGTTTAAAATATGTCTTACACATTTTTTTTTTAAAAAAATAAAACGTATATAATAAAATTAAATTGTATGTGTATAATTAAAATAAATTAATTTATAAAATAAATATTTTAGTTTATATATGAGACAAATGAAAACAAAAAATTATAAGTGAACCATATATTAAAAATTTAGGTAAATTGCTTTGTTAGTCCCGTAATTGGACTTTTTTATCATTTTAATTCCGTAATTTGAGTCTATCGCAAACTAGTTCTGTAAGCGAAAAATTTTCGAAAAATTGGATTGTTATGTATTATTATTTATTATTGTTTTATTTTTTAAAATCATAAATAAGAAAATTTTTTTTTTTTTCTCTTCTAAAATTCAAGTTTCATCTCCAACACTAATATATCCCCCTTTTTTCTTTTGAAATATTTCAAGGTTTAAAAGAGAAAATAAATTTATTAACATAGATGTTTTAAATACATAAAATATAGCATATAGACAAAATTGTGTATGCATTTAATGTATTATTTAATATTAAGATTCATTGACATGTATAAATTAACAATGGATTTGTTCATGCAAGAGTTTTTTAGAATTGTAATTCCCAATAAATAATATTTTATATTTTTTTACACAATTATTTATACTATACATAAAAAAAAATAATAATAAATCAATATTATTACAAAAGGTCAAAAAAAAAATCAAATATTCAATTTAAAATAATATATATTTTATTTTTTTAATACAATTCTTTTAAATATAACCAATATAAAATACTGATAAATTCTTTTAGATAATGGTTTTGGATTAAAATAGTTTAAAATAACTCAATTAATTTCATTTATTTGACAATACAATAAATTTTAAATCCATGAAGTCAGCAATAAATTTCAAATTCATCAACCTTTAATATTCTAAATATTATTAATATTATATTATTTCAAATAGTTTTTCATACTATATACTTATATATTAAAAAATATTTTGAATTCATTTATTTAAAATCGCTATGAAATTCCAATTCATCTAACCAAGTCTTATATATATAAGTCTTTTGTACTTTAAAATAAAAATTTTATTATTTAAATACAATAAAACTGAATAAACAAACAACAAAAATATATCAAAAGGAATATATTTGATTTTTTTTATATTGTGATAATATTAAAATTTTAAATTAAACAATTATTTGATAGATATTATAGATATAAATAAAATTTTAATATAATAACTAAATAAAAATTAAATACAAAACGTAATTGTTTTTGGAAAAAAGTATATTACATCTAATAGTGTAAATGAGCTGTTGAAAAATACAACAAAACAAACTAAATAATTTTATCAAATTATTACTTATTCCTATAATTTGGTAATTCTTTTCAACATATTTATAATTTTATGATTATCTATTATATATTAAAATTATTAACAAAAATAATAATAGTAATAATAAGTCACACTAGGCGAATTATGTGGCGGTCACAAGTTCACTTTTCATGCTACCACGTCATCTATTACTGGACTAAATCAAATTTTTCTTATAAATATGAACAGTAAAAAATACAAATTAAATACAAATTACATAGAGCTAAATAAAATTATGATTTTTGAATAATAAATTAAAAAAAATTGTTAAATAAAAAAAAATAATATTAACTTTGTAATATAATTAAATTGTAATACTCCCTCCGTCCACCGCCTATCTATCCGTTTAATTTTTGCACGTAGATTTTAATATATTAGTATTGTATTAATATGTGGTACCATTGATATATATATAAAGACTATTATACCCCTTAACATTTATGATATTAAGCGGTGTTATATGATGACATTTGTGTAATATTATATAAAGGATGGGATAATTTTATATTTTAGTGAAAAGTACATTTACCAAAAAAAATTGATACATTTGTGATGGACCGATTAAAATGAGAAAATGGTTATATTGGTTGTGGACGGAGATAATAGAAGAATCGGGTGTACCAATTTATTCTAATTTTAAATAATAATGTAACATCTTAACATATTAAAATTATTTAAAATAGAGTATATATATATATATATATATGTGCATGACACGACTATATTTTCACCATGTGGTTGTCGTTATGTGTAACTTTAATGGTTACTTGTGCATATTTCATTAGATATTTTCACCATGTGGTTGTCGTATTAACTTTAATGTTACTAACTTATTTAAGAAAATTAAAAGCTTTTGAGGCTAAAATTATATTAATACTATATTTTACTTCTAACTGTAAGTCTTTTAATACCTCCTCTGTCCGGCTCTAAAATTCTCATTTACCTTTTGTGTTATTATACTTAAAATTAAAAATATATTTATATTTATATAATATTTTGCACAAATATCGTTATAATAGTATTATAAGATAGAAGTATTTTTGTTATTTTTTCTTAATTTGTACTACGTTTTTATATAATAATTAATATTCAAATATCAATACGTAAAACGTAAATGAGACTCTTAGAGTCGGACGGAAGTAGTATTTATTTACAAAATATATAGTAATAAAATAAAAACAAAAAAAATATATTCGTTTCGTCTCACTCGAATGTACCTTTTATGACTTCATATTAGATGAAAAAATAATAATATTTTAATAATTAGTAGAAATGTGTAAAAAAATTTGATATTTTTTCCTTTTGACTTCATGTAGAGTAATTATATATGTAATGATATATTTGTAATTTAAGTAAAAATTTATGATATTTTGATATTACTGTATAATTACTTTATTAAAAAAAAATTTTAAAAAATGACATTTTTTAGTGAGATAAATAAAAATAATAATAAAGATAATTTGAGATAGGAAAGAGGTAGTAATACATTATCTAACACCTCTGTATAATATGGGTTAGGCATCAAATTAACGGTTTATTTATTTAGTATTTTAGTTTGAAATATTATTTTTATATAAGCTATGATAATATTAAAAAAGAATATTTTTTTTATTGAACATTGATTTTTTTATAAAATAAATTATAATATATTATATATATTAAAAATTGTGTCCATAAAAATTTGATTGAAAGAATAAACTTAGATGTCTCTCATAGATAAGATATTTTCAATTGGCCTATCAAAGAATTAATTCATCCCTAACCATGCTAATTAGGTAGTTAACTAATTCCTCATCAAACCCACCCACAGTATATATATGGCTATGGTTAGAGATAGAGATTTTTCGAGACTTTCAAAATTTTGTAAGTTTAACACAAAAAAAAAAAAAAAAAAAAAAAAAAAAAAAAACAAAAACAAAACAAAACAAAACAAAAGAACAAAAATACTTTCGTCTCTCAATAAATTATTTATTTTTCTATTTTGGTATGTATCATAACTAAAGTATACATTTTTCTTTTAATAACTATACTATTTTTTTAACATTAGAAATACTCTTACAATTTACTCCTCATCTCAAAACTATAGTCTTATTTGGATTGGACACGGAGATTTAAGAAATATTAATAGTTGTAAAAGGTATGAGTAAAAGATTTTTTTGCCCCTACTAGTGTATTAGTGTAAAAAGTAATGACATTTGTGTAATAAAAAAAAATAAAGATAATTTTATGATAAAATGAGTATTTATGGAAATAAGACTATTATTTTGAGACGAACAAAAATGGTAAACAAGACTATTGTATTGGGACGAAGGAAGTATAATATATTACAAAAACGTCGTTACCTTTATATTACACCATACTAATAAGATTATTTTAGTTATTTTTACTTTATTTTTACTATATATCAATATAATAACATAATATTAATATACTTTAATCTTCGTAAAAAAACAAACTTATACCCAGAAAAAAAAATATATGTTTGATGTGATATTTAAAAAAAAAGAAAAAAAAGAATAGTGTCTATGTAAAATGAACCTATATATAAAGCCGTAATGTGATCAAACCAAATATAAATCATGGAATTGTTTTTCGTTGCGGCGGTAGTAACGATTATCTTTATCCTTCTTTCCTATTATGCATTCTCTTCTTCAATCTTCCCCAATTCCAAATCCAATTCAAGAAACCGGCAGCCGCCGGAAGCCGGCGGCGCGTGGCCCATCACGGGCCATCTTCACATCATGAGCAAGGGATCCCCCGACAAGCCCCCGCACTTAACTTTAACAGCCATGGCCGACACCTACGGTCCCATCTTCAGCATCCGGCTCGGCTCCCGGCGAGCCGTCATCGTGAGCGGCTTGGAATTGGTCAAAGAAATATACACCACGTGCGACGTGGCAGCGTCGTCCCGACCAAGAACCTTGTCGGGGGACCTCCTCTGCTACGGCTCGGCAATGGTCGGCGCCGCCCAATACGGCCGCTATTGGCGCGAGCTGCGGAAGCTGATCTCAGCCGAGCTCCTGTCCAGCCGCCGGCTCCACATACAGCGGCACGTGCTCGTGTCCGAGACTGCGCAGTCTGTCCGGGAACTGTACGATCTCTGGAACGAGAAGAAGAACGCGTCGGGAAGTGCTCCGGTGGAGTTGAAAGAATGGATTGGGAATCTGAATCTGAATACATTTTTGAGGATGGTTGTCGGGAAGAGGTATTTCGTCTCCTGTGGCGGCGACAGAGCCGAGGCGAGGCATTGCCGGAAAGTTATGAGGGAATTCTTTCGTCTAATTTCACTACTGACAATCGGCGATGTCGTGCCGTATCTCCGGTGGCTGGACATCGGCGGATTCCAGAAGAAGATGAAGGAAACGTTCCTAGAATTGGATGCTCTCGTCTCCAAATGGCTGTCGGAACATCGCGCCGACGGCAAGCAAGAGGATTTCATGGATGTAATGATTGCAGTCGTCAAAAGTGCAAAGCTTGGAAACGAGTACGATGAAGACACCATAATCAAAGCCACTTGTTCGGTAACTGACTAACTTGTTCCAAATTAATATCACAAATCAATCCATCTCATTTGGAATTAGAAAAATGGAACTATCTCTATTTGTTTTCTGCAATTATCTGTGTGCAATTTCATCTTCTATACCTTATATTAGCACCCTAACGCTATTATATATGTATTGCAGAATTTGATTACGGCAGGGACTGATACGAGCGCAGTGATGTTAGTATGGCTGCTGTCTCTATTACTGAACAACCCAAAAGAGCTAAAGAAAGCCCAGCAAGAACTCGACGAGAAAGTCGGGAGAGAGCGGCGGGTGGCGCCGTCGGACCTGAGCAACCTCGTATACCTCGAAGCCATAGTGAAAGAGTGTCTCCGGCTGTACCCGGCGGCGCCGTTGGGTGGGCTACGGGAATTCAATCAGGACTGCAACCTGGGAGGCTACGAAATAGAGAAAGGTACGATATTCTTCGTCAACATATGGAAGTTGCATATGGATCCACAGATTTGGGAGGATCCCGACAAGTTCTTGCCGGAGAGGTTTCTTACCTCCACCGGCAATAGGGATTTCCAGTGGATTCCGTTCAGCGGCGGCCGGAGAATCTGCCCCGGAGTGAATTTGGCGTTGGAGACGATGAAGCTGGTGACGGCCAATTTGGTGCAAGCGTTTGACTTATCGACGCCTGACGATGAAGCCGTTGACATGACCGCAAGTCTTGGTGTGACCATTTCCAAAGCCACTCCATTAAATGTTCTTGTTGCCCCTCGACTGTCTGCTTCTCTTTATAACTAATTTCGGACATGTTTCCATACTAGTGTCTTATGTCATCTTTTTAAAAAATTAAATATTACACATTTTATTTTTATTTTAAATTTTTCAATTAAATTTATTTTAAATTTTAATTAAATTAATTAGTTATCCTAGTTTATCGTCTCGTAATAGCACATTCAATATAGATAGGACAAAGAGAGGTTATAAATATGTATTGGCGGCTTCAAATTTTCATATTAAAAAAAAAAAAAAAAAAAAAAAACCCGATTGTCCTTATGGAAGATAAGGAAGTAGCTAAAATATTACACATTTGAATTCATTGGTTGTAAATTGTAATCACATTACACGCATCAATTTGTTCTAATTTAACCATTTAATTAAACTATCGAGGGTCATGTTTTAATTAATAAAATAAAGTTATATCTATTATATTTATTTAATACTATAAACTATAGTTATCTTGTAATTTATTTTAAATAAAGTTAATTTAAGTTAGAATGATTATTTTATTATTAAGTGATTCAATTTTCTTACATATAATTTTTTTTTTATTTATATTTTATTTATATGATATAAGTATATATATGCTTATTTTAAAACAACTTACGTCACAATATTTATTATTCTTATATCAAAATTGATGTTTATTTAATAAATTAATAAAATTTTATTTTATATTTTTATTTAATAAATTAGTAAAATTATTATATTTTCTCTTTCTTTCATTGTTTAATCAAATACAAAAATATTAATTTTCCTCCCACTCTTTTCTTTTTCTCTCAGTGTGAACCAAACACACTATTACAATTTTAATATATTTTTCTTCTCTTCCATTGAAATCTCTCCTTTAGCCTCCCTTCGTTTAAACCAAACATACCCTTACCACTTGAAAGTCATTAAAACAAATTGTTTTAATTATATTAATAATACAATTAATTATAAAAATTAAAATAATTAATTTATAAGTATTAGCATGGATGATTAATATAATTATTCAACATATGATCTAAATTTTTTTTTTAAAAAATCCAAAAAAATATTATTCTCATAATTAAAAGTATATTTCTACTACTTTATATTTCTTACTCAAAAGCCTATATTAATTATTATAGTAAAAATCACACACTGGTATCATAATATTATTAATTTCTATGTAAATTATAAGCATAAGCATTACACATATATATATATATATATAAATAATCAAATTATCTTATGTATTTTTATTAATTAATAAAATATTATTATTTTTTAATCTATTATAAAAATATGAATGAATATTTTTGTTTGAGATGAAAAAAATACATATTTACTTTCATATCTATCTTACGTAGGGGTTATGGGTTATAGTACTGTATAAAAATATGTCATGTGTTAAAATCAATTATTGTATGTGATATATGAGACTATAATATGTGTTGATAGTTCATGTGTATTATATTAATGTATATAATGTGCTATTTGTAGTAATATTGTATGGTGTCTCTAGTGTTGTCAGAAATTATAGCATATGTTGTTTGTTCATGTATTGCATTTGTATTATATTATATACACAGTGTGATATCTGTATTAATATTATGTGTCGTAAAACACACTTTTTGAATTACTCAATTTCATGATATAAAAAGCTAGAAACTGCACTATTTCAAGACATACATGTATAGACTTAGGAATTTTATCTCCAGGAACACCCACTATTTTATTGACATTAAAATTTACGTTACTTTTCTTTCTTTTAGGAATTTTTATCTTGGTAACAGTTACTATTAATTTAAAAATGCTTTGTAATTAGTTATAAAGAGAAGCAGACAGTCGAGGGGCAACAACAACATTTAATGGAGTGGCTTTGGACAAGGTCACACCAAGAGTTGCAGTCATGTCTACGGGTTCATCGTCCGGCGTCGATATGTCAAATGATTGCACCAAATTCGCCATCACCAGCTTCATCATCTCCATCGCCAAATTCGCTCCGGGACAGATTCTACGGCCACTGGAAATCTTTATGGCTGCTGGCGGTGCCAAGAAACCTCTCCGGCAAGAACTTGTCGGGATCCTCCCAAATCTGGGGATCCCTCTGCAACTTCCATATGTTGACGAAGAATATCGTACCTTTCTCTATTCCGTAGCCTCCCACGTTGCAGTCCTCATTGAATTCCCGAATCCCACTCAACGGCCCCGCCGGGTACAGCCGGAGACACTCTTTCACCACAGCTTCGAGGTATACGAGGTTGTCTATGTCCGACGGCTCCACCCGCCGATCTCTCCCGACTTTCTCGTCGAGCTCTTGCTGGGCTTTGTTTAGTTTAGCACTTTAGGGTTGTTGAGTAAATGGGTCAGCAGCCATACTAACATCACTGTGTTCGTATCACTCCCCGAAATCAAATTCTGCAATTATACATATATATATTACATGTATATATAGTATTTGGAAAAGAAATCGACTAGTTAGTTACTTACCGAACAAGTGACTTTGATTATGGTGTCTTCATCGTACTCGTTTCCAAGCTTTGCACTTTTGACGGCTCCAATCATTATATCCATGAAGTCATCTTGCTTGCCGGCGCCGGCGCCGGCGCGATGTTCCGACAACCATTTAGAGAGGAGAGCATCCATTTCGTGGAACGATTGCTTCATCTTCTTCTCGAATCCGCCAATGTCGAGCCACCGGAGAAACGGCACGACGTCGCCGATCGTTGGAGTTCCGATAAGCTCAAAGAACGCCTTCATGACCTACCGGCAATGCTTCGCGTCGGCCACGTCAGCACCGGAGACGGCATATCTTTTCCCGACCACCAACCTTAAAACTGTGTTCAGATTCAGATTCCCAAACCACTCGATCATCTCCACCGGAGCACTTCCCGACGCGTTCTTCCTCTCGTCCCAGAGATCGTACAATTCTCTGACAGACTGCCCGGTCTCGGAGGCGAGCACGTGCCTCTGCACGTGCAGCCGGCGGATGGATAGGAGCTCGACTGAGATCAGCTTCCTCAGCTCGCGCCAATACTGTCCGTACTTGCTGAACCCGAACATAGCCGAGCCGTAGCTGATGAGTTCCGCCGACTTAAATATTGGTCGGGAAGCCGCCGGCGTGTCGGAGGTGGTGTATATTTCCTTGGCCAATTCCCGGCTGCTCACGATGAGGGCTCGCCGGGAGCCGAGCCGGATGCTGAAGATGGAGCCGTAGTTGTCGGCCATGGCGGTTAAGGTGATGTGCGCCAGCTTGTCGGGGGATTGGTTTCTCATGATGTGGAGATGGCCCGTGATGGGCCACGCGCCGCCGGCTTCAGGCGGCCGCCGGTTTCTTGAACGAGATTTGGGATTAGGGAAGATTGAAGAAGAGAATGCATAGTAGGAAAAAGGGATAACGAAAATTGTGACCGCCACCGCAATGAAAAAAAACTCCATGATTTATATTGAGTTCGATGAATATTATGACTTTATATAGTGTAGGTTTTGATCAATAATTGATTAACTAACCATGGTTAGGGATGAGTGATTCGATAAGCCTATTGAAAATATGTAATGTATATCTCTATATATATATATATTTATTTAATGGCGTTGGAAATTGCCACTACTATTCTTGCCATTCTTTATCCATGGATGTAGAAAATGCTACGGTTTCCATTCTCATATGAGGTCGGAAAGTGGATTGGCAACATATAGGCACAAAGTGATTCATCATGGAATTCACAGCATAATCAAACTAAGTTTTACAAAACAAGTCATATTAGAAGAAGAATATTATGCGACTAGACAAAATCTGAACACATTGAAAGTTTAAATTCATATTTTACGGTCATGAGTCCACCTCGTACCATCAAATAATTCTTTACAAGACGTACTCTGGATAGAACTAGCAAAAATAGACCTAGTTCGAAAATTCAATTCAAATTGGACACAAGAAATGATGTTTGGGCCTAAGAAAATATCCAAAAAATTTTAGGTTATGCTTACCCGATTGATTTTAAAATTAAATATAATTTTAAAAATATATTAAAAAATAAATTTATATGAAAAATAAATAAATATAATCGAATGGTTTAGAAAGAAAATAAAAACCCGGCATGATAGGCCAGCTCGGCATAGCTCTATTTCAAACCAGGCCATGCTCAAACTTGCCGGGCTGAGACGGGCCGGCACAAAAAATATCAGATCATTGAGGTAGTTAAAATCAACCCGACCTAGCACGAAAAACATCAGATCATTGAGGGAAATAAAATTAGATTTTTGGATAGAGATTTGAAAGGACACAATATTGATAAGCTAAAATTAGATTCTTGGTATCTAGAACAGAGAGCAAATATCATAAAAAGCTAAAATTCAAAATCAAAATGATTAAAAATATATGTATATTATAAAAAAAAAAGTTGGTTTGGAAGACAACGGAACCTCGGGTCTCCTTCATGTGGTTGCGGCACTAGGCTAAACATAGTAATTCATTGCGACGAATATGCTTGCTTTAACCCGACAATGGGTAGGAATGTTAAATACGACGGGTAAGCCCGGATCTACTTTTAATGGGACAAATTCGGGTTTGAAAATATATATTTTGGATGGGTTGTGGATTTTAAATCAAATTGTTTCGCTTGCTGTCAGACGGCCGTCACTATGAACAACTGTCAACACTAAATTGTTTTTGAAAAATTTTGCCTCGTCTGCCCCCAACCATCATCACAGCGAACCACCACCAAATATTTGATTGTTGTTATTCTTAAAATTAAAATTTTTATAGCGCTTTTTACACTTATTAGTGTAGTATTAAATTACTAAAATAATTATATTTTATTTTAAAAAATGAGTTTTACAAGTTGGCCCCACATCCGGGTTCGGAGCTAGGCAAATGAATACATATCATTATTATTAGTACATTTTCACACACACGCTCACGTGTGTATATATATATAGATAAATATATAACCGATTAAAACAATTTTTCACATGTGATCGCCGGATCTTCCGCCCGCATCTTCCGATAGCAAGCGAATTCCCACAAAATATAAAATAAAAATATATATATTACATACTTGCTAGATATCTTTTCCTCCAAATGTTGACAAAAAAAAATTCAACTAATCTATATTTCATCTTACAAATCACCCCATCACATCATCATAAGAACCAACATATCAAATATATATATATATCATCTTGATTTTCCACGTTCAGCCATTCACTCCACACACCAAATTCTTCATGTCTTTCTTCTTCCCAGTCTCTTACACTATGAACATCCAACGATGGATCATCAATCAACAACTCACCACCTATAAACGTGTCGCCATCAGCATTGCACGAATTTTGACCCTCAGGTCATCGGGGACCTCGGTGGCACTTTCAGGGAGGGGTTGAGATGGAGCCCTCTCTCTAGAGCTCGTACCCTCAGCAGAAGCTTCTCCGCCGACATGACCATTTGCAACTGCGATTCCTCTCGACTCCTCTGAGACTCTGGAGCTTATCTCACCCTCTTCCAGATTGTTTCTTTCATGGCGTGATCTTTTTCTGTGCTTATTCACGCCACTAGCTTTCCGGTGCTCTTCGTCTGAAGAGGTCCCATTCTTGAGGTTGGATTCAGATTCTCTGTTTCTAGAAGGACGCTTACTCCCGTGTCGATGTTTATCCCTGCTATGATGGGAGGAGCGGTGGCCTTTCCGGGAGTGTTTCCTCTCTTCTTCATCGTGATCATGTTCGTCTTCTTCCTCAGGATGCTGCTTTGATGAGCCCCTCTTCCTGGATTGATGTTTCTTGCTAGATCGTTTATGATTCTTATCCTTTCTATGTTTATCACCACCATCCCTGTCGTGTTCATCTTCCTGCTGTGAACGAAGAGACCTGCGCTTTGATTTGTAATGCCTGCCGTCGTCCTCCTCTTCACTGCTTCTACCTTCATCGTTATTGTCATCAGAAGAATCACCGTGATCTTGGTCCCGATGCCTGGATCTTGATTTACGATCCCTTTTCCTATGGCGCTCATTGCCGTTATCCATTTTGTCTTCTTCATCATCATCCTCAACATCAGGTCTAGATCTATATTTTCTATTCAAGTGTCGCTGAGCATGGTCGTCGCCGAAGTAATTCCTCTCCAACTTTTCACTGTCAGCAGGCCTATCGACATCTGCCGGAGCTATGCTGCCTTCTCTTTCTTTAACATCAACCTTACTGGCAGACATCGAGATTAGAGCTTCTGGAGGTTCTAGCGATGAGCCATGGGAGGTTCCTGTTTTAAATGGCACTTCACCATTTTTCAGTAAGGCGACGAACATTTTAGCCCTCTTCAGCCTCTCCGCCTTCAGCTTCTGTTCTTTCGTCAAGTGTGCCTCGCCAGAGTCTGCTTCATTGGCCACTTCCACAGCAGCTTTTCTCCCAAGCATCTTGGCGACATTTGATTCATTTTGAATCTCAATATGTTCAGACTTTGAAACAGCATAATCTGTTGGTGGAGAGACATGATTGCCTACATTTCCAGGGTTTCCATCTTCACTGCTATTTGTATGAAACAGAGCACCGGAAGAATTACTTGAACTCAGCTTGTAACCAGCATGTTTGGTTCCCCTTGTGGCAGCCTCAAGGATAGCAGCTGCAGCTTCAGCATCAACCATTACTCCAGATTCGGGTTGGGTTCCTTTCGATTCTGTCTCCTGCATTTCTTTCTTTGATTTGCCAATCACCATTTTGAACTTCTCTTTCTTGTCTGATTCCAGGGGCATGTCATCAAATGCAGAATCCTTTTCCTTAAGAACAGAACCCTTTTTACGTTCCTTTCCAGAATACAAACCCTTCCCATTTGCTTGTGACTGCAAATAAGATAAGAGATGTTAGAAGAAAAGAAAACACAGGATTATTTCATTGAGATACCACACTATAATACTATATATAACAAGGTGTACAAAATTTAAGCTCTTGTTTAGCTAGACCATCTTGCTGTAAATCAATTGATCCAACACGGTTCAATAGATCTTCGAGCAACTTTATTGAGATCCCACATCACTAGGATAGAGATAAGACGAGAAAAGAACAAACTTGCGGAAAATTAGCCTCTGCAATTAAAACAGCTCTCTTTCCAGATTGAAAGAGGCTTGCTTAGCAAACAAACCAAATCTGAGGCGTTCATATCTTGGATTGAAAAGACTCACTTTGTAAGATAAAACGCAGACCAAAACTAAAACATAGTTAGATAAGCACCCACATAGGAAGGCGTAGGGATTTATCATATGTAGGACAAAACCAGTTCAAGGGAATATTATATATAAAATCTGGTAGATCCCACCATAAATAAGGGGGGGAAAACAGATCATCACCAGGCACAAACAAAAATAGCAGGAGGTGTCCAAAACTATATAAAAGAAAGACATGCCCATGTGAAAGTTTACTTTTAGTGTATCATAATGGATCTGCCATACCTCCTGAGCTGTCTCGAGGACCTTCAAGTAGTAAGGATGATACTTGTTCAATGGTAGAAGAAAAGGAAATCGTCCGTACTTTGCATCCTGCTCAATAAGAGTTGCCTCAAACTGTTTGCCATTTCTCATAATAAACTCAACAAGCTTGTCAATCACTCTCTTCAATTCAGGTGGAGGCTCTGGAATTACAGGGTCGATATTTGAAGTCACTCCAACAGCTGATTCTCTAGCTTTATCAACATCAGCATGAACTAAATGAGTTTCCCTTTCCACACCCTTAGTTGTTCCAGATTTCGACACGGTGACCAAAGTATTCTTCTTTACAGTGTTAGCCTTCTCTTTAATGGAAGGAACTGTGCTTCTAGGTAATGATCCATCCTTCCCTACATTTAACTGTGATCGAATCTTTGTGGCATCCTGGTGAATAATATGAGTGCCAGAAGAATTGCTGTCCTGTGTAACATCTTTGGCAGATTTTCCACTATCCTGAGCGTCCTCTTCCTCCCCAGATCCATACACAGAACCAAGCAAGGATAATGCTCCACCAACACCATTGGAGATGCCATGATCATTACTTGTCTCTTTCCTGTCATCCTGAGGGCTTCCAGCAGATTCAGAGTTTAGAAGTTCTGGGTGGTCAACTAGATATCTGAAGTAGGGATGAAGTTGATGGTCAGGCATCAAGAACCCAAATGTTGGATTATCTCCTTGTTTCACACGGAGTATAATCTCTGACTGCCCACCATGTTTACTTACAAACAAGGCAGTCCGCGCAATTATCTGATGTAGCTTTTCTGTAGGAGGCTGTAAAAAAAAAAGAAATGCAGAAGAGAAGGATATAAATACAGAAGAATATCTTAATATCAGAAGTACAATAAATAAAATAAAAAATTCACACATCATATCACAAGGACAGAATTTTAACAGAGTTATAAAATTTAATGAAGTGTTAAGTGAAAATGATTGTTGAATAATCATGGTGTACAACCAATGCAAGGATCCATATGAAACATATACATAATGTTTACCCTCTTGAACTGACAGCCTTCATAATCAATATTAACTTTCCTAATCCCACCTGCATTGCCCTTGTTATGAGATCAAAGGGAAACAAGTTGCCAGTGTACGGCAACCTAACACAAGTAGTCCACCCCTGCTCCAAGCATCTGAAAATACTTGACATGGCAAGCCTTAAAAATTGTATATATAAGCATGTTCGGAAATCTTTAAACACCATACTGAGGGATTCTGATTAGCAAGCCAAAACATATTAAGTCCAGCCAGAAATGCAAATGTTAAATCCAAGAGAACAGGCTTACCAAGCTGTGCAGAAGGTCACCAGGGACAGGGAATTGAGGGAGAAATCCAGAAGATTCCATATGAACATCAGTATTTTTTTGATCAATGGAATCATCAGTGCTTCCATACAAGAAGGCAACGGCATGAAAACCAGAAGCTTCTGTTCCATGTTTATCCTCTTCTACATCTAGACATTAGATAAAAAACGGAATTACTTTGGTAGATCTATAAGATCGATAAATATCAAATCTCAAGTAGTGAGTTGTAATCAACCGTCAAAGAGATAATAATGACAATTATCAAAAAATTAATGAGCCCTTACTTGAGAGTGGAAGAAGGATATGATATTTTACATCAGCCCTGCAAATTTTGGAAGTACAATACAGAAGTATGCTAGCAGCACAAAATAGATAGCTATTACACCCATTGTATCGCCCTACCCTGTGTATTAAATATGTTTCAGCATAAGTATCTTGATGACAGCCATAACAAACACCAACCTTCATAACATGATCTCTAGCAAGTTCAGAAATTTTATTCAAGTAGCTAGTAATCAAATTATTCATATATTTAGTACTCCCTCAGTTGCTATTGAACAAAGAATTTCTATCCTTTCTGCTCAAGATATTTACCAAGGTGAGAATCTGGTTAAACCTAAACAGCTGCAGTTAATCAATTCAGCCTATATCCACATTATCCGCCATGTATTATTCTCCTATCGAACAACATGCCAATAGTCTAAATTGATTCCTTTACTAGCTGCCACAAATCTCATCCCACCTAATAGAAAAGACAATCACGCTGTAACACTACATCTTGTAATGGAGAAGCACAAATTAAAATCCTGACTAAACCAATATCAAAAGAAAGATCGGTACCTGGGTGATCGTCCTGTGACGGTAGATCAAAATATCGTTCGTGATCTAGCTGAGATGCAAGGGATAACTCCTCTACGAGAACATGTTCTGCCGCTTTATTGCGGCGGCGCGAGGGAGGAGGAGCAGAGAGGAGGTGGCGAACATCGTATCGATCAATTTGGAGGGAGTGCCACTCCACGAGGGCGTCGCCGGAGTTGACGAAAGCCGCCATGGCGTCGTCGTCGAAGAGCAGGGCATGGCGTCCTACCACCTCTAGATCCATATCCGCTTCACTGCTTCGTCAACCGTAGGAATCTTGCGGTTTGCAGATGGGAAGAAATTTTCACGAAGGATCTATGTGTTTGAAATTCAGGCTGTAAATAGGAACCCTAGAAAAGAGGAATTTCACGAGCACCCGTCGATATTTCTTTCCTATTATTTTGGGCCTAATTTTATTAACTCTACTGGGCAATTATTACAAATTGGGCTTTATCATGGGTCAATGTAAAAGTTTCTTTGGTATATATAGCCGAGTGCGGGCTCTACTATTTTTATTTTTATTTGTTATTAATTTTTTCTATTTATTTTACTCCCTCTACATCCTTATACCGTCAGTTTTTTTACGGAGTTTTAAAAATATTAATATTATATTAATATGTGGTATGAATAAAGTAGAAAATATTAAAATAATTTTATTAGTAGCTTATGATATAAAATTAATAACTTTTGTATGATATATTGTAAGTTGTAAGTATATTTTTAATGTTAATAGAAAGTACAGTTACTAAAAAAATAAATATTTTGTTATGGACGGACCAAAATATAAAAATAAATAGATTGTCAAGGAATTGAACAAGTATTACTTTGTGAATGGTGTCAGGGTTAATGTAGATATGAGAATTTAAATAGAGTATGATTAATAAATTATTAAAAATATATTAATAAAATTAAATATAATATAATATAAGTAATTATAAATTAAGATTAACATACAAATTAGTTTGCCAATAATTTTCTTTCTGAGATATTTTTAATATATATATCTTTTATAAAAAGTTAACATTAAACTTAAAATAATTTTTTATATTACCGTAACAATTATTTATACTTGACACTAAAGGAAAAATAAATAAATAAAATTCTTCAAATCAAAAGATTAAGCAAAAAAATCCTATTTTATTTTGAAATTTTTACAATATGGTCATTCTATTTACTCTAAGTTAGGTTTTAAATTGAGAATTGTAAAATTTTAACTTAGACGAAGGTAAGATATAATATATTATAAATAGAAGTTTGTGTTTTTAATATTTTAAATCAAAGTTAACAGTATTTACTTCACATTATTTTTTTCTTACAAATATATTTTTTTTCAAAATTATCACATCAAAATACTGTTTACACAAAAATTCAAATAATATTTTATTTCAAATCACAAGCAAATAAAGTTATTTGATACAGTATAATATTTTTAAAAAAGAAATACTTTTTTATGCGATAAAAAAAATATGTACTCCATCCGTCTCATCTGAATATACCATTTGAGATTTTGTAGTAGATTAAAAAATAATACTTATGTCATTTGCTAAAAGAGTTACATTTGTTTTTTTTTGCATATTGATTTTTAAATTTTAATTACTATATTAAAAAATAATACAAATTAAGAAAAAGAACACAAAAATATTTCTATTATAAAAATTAAGGGGTGTTTGGCAAATAGCTTTTTGAAGAGCTTTTAGTTTATTGAACAGTTTTAGCCGTTTGACCAGTCAAAAAGCTAATTTAGGTGTTTGGTAAATTAGCTTTTTTGGAATAGCTTTTTGACCCAAAAAGCTAATTTCTGAAAATCTAACTTACCCGGCCTTTTGAAATAGTTTTTTCTGTAAAAAATTTTTTATTCATTATATGCCCTTAAAAATTTATTATGCATTTTACACAAATAAATATATTTTTTATTATATTAGAATATTTTATTATAATATAGTTTTACTTTTATAAATTTAAAATAATTAATTTATATATGAATTATTTTAATTGTAAAATATATAAATTTATTAAAATCAACATAAAATATAAATATTAATAATTTATTTTTATATTAAAATTACATTATATAAATTTTATACTAAAAATAAATTAAATAAATTAAATTTATTAAAAATTATAAATATAATGAACTAATCGATAACTAACATAATAAATATATACACGAAAAATTTATTATTTTATATTTTACATCATTTTCAATAGAAAAAACTATTTATATATTTTAATAAAAATATATTATTTTTTTAAATCTAACTCTAATAAAAATAAATATTTTTATAACATTTTTACAATTTTCAATAACTAATAACAAAAATTTTTAAACATTCTAAGCTCAAGAGAACATAATTGAATATATTAGAAACAAAAATAAAATAGAAATATCCTCAATTGCCATCTTACGTATAAAGAGCTAATATCAAACAATTCTTTTACCAAACATTTTAATACAAACAGCTAATCGAATCAACTAGTCAAACCAGCTAATTGAATCAGCTGACAGCTAACAGCTATCAGCTAATTGCCAAACACGCCCCAAATGTAACTCTTTTAGTCAGACGAAATAGTATTTTATTAGTTAGTGAAAGTATATAAAATATTTTGATATTTTTTGCTCTATAATTTTATATATAAAATAATTATATATATATGATGATATATTTATAATTTAAATGAAAATTAAAAATATTTTAATATTAATACGTGATTATTGAGATAAACCTAGTTGGCTTCCAAACACACCCCAATATTTCGTCCATGTATTTTCTCCATTAAGTTCCTGCCAAATCTTACACCAAATACTTGACCAACCAATTTTCTTATTATTTTTACCATTAAATAACTTATGTGATGGTATTTGTTCGTCCGTATGTCTCATGTCTGTTCACGGACAAGCCATGTGGCCAGTCAACCCGATCGACCTAATCTCTCGCCGTACACGTGTCCTTGTATGTAGACATATTTATGTATTAAAATTATTCTATTCGTCGACACCAATTTTGATGTTGTCCACTACGCCACAAGTCCACGACAGCTATAATTCATCGGAAATTTCTTTATATAAATATTTTGAAAAAATTTGGTATTATAATTTTTTTCAAATAATATTATTATATCAAATAATTTTTTCTCTCAATAAAATACTATTCTCTCAGTTCTAGATAACATAGGTTATTAGTGTAAATACAAAAATTTAGATAAAATATATTTAGCAAGTAATTAAAAAGTATATTAATAAAAATAATTATTATATATTAAAAATAATTATAAATTAAGACTAAATAGTTGAATTAAAATTAAAAAAAATTAAATTTTAAATTTTAAAATAGGATTAAAGTGTAATTTTATTTTTTTTCAAAAACAAAAATAACAAATTATGTAGGACAGACGAAAATAAAAAATACCGATAAATTATGTAGGACGGATAGAGTATTAAACTTCAAACTTTTATCTAAATAGTATCTTAGTTTTTGTAAATGATACTAAAAAATTATATAATAAATAAATAAATAAAAAACTACACATATTTTAACAATAATTTTTGGTATAAACACGGCCCCGTGTTTTTTGCCTGAGATATTTTCCATTTTAATAAAGTAAGGGTGTGTTTGTTTGGAAATTAGATTTTATTTCCACTGTTCATTTCAATTTTTTCCCCAAAAACATCAAATCAAACAATTATTTTTTATTTTTTATATTATACTAAAAATCAATTTTACTTCTAACACCTATTTATATCACATTATACAACTATTCAAATCTCAACTCAAAATTCAAATACCCAAACAAACACACCCTAAATTTTATTGGAAATAATTCCGTAACGCTGTCTAATTAAAAACGTTAATAAGAATACCATATTTGAACAGTCCTTTAGTCACGCCTAAATCAGATGCTTTTAATCATTATACACAAATACATATACAAAATTTATACGTATGTATGTATATATATATATGTATATATACGCGTCTTCAAATTTAGATCATCATCAGGGCCACCACCAGATTTCAGATCGCGACTGATCTCTGCATTCAACCGAAACTGTTGGAAATCGCAGTAGGGAAGCAGCAGTGGTGGATTGGATTTCATGGTCGCCGATAGCATTCAGTGGAGATGGGTGATGAACGCCAGTCCTTGCTCGCCGGTCCCAACAAGCACCGGAATTTTGCGCGGTGTGCTTCGCATGCGCACGACGAGCTCCGGAGCTTCCGGACATGGCTCACGTGGCTGTGCGTCGACCAGTCGAACGCCTGGACGACCTGCCTCTCCTGGATCGTCTTCCTCGGCCTTGCCATAATTGTGCCCGCCCTGTCGCACTTCGTGCTCAATTGCAGCGGCGACTGCGACAAACTCCACAGCAGGCCGTACGACACCGTCGCGCAGCTCTCGCTCAGCGGCGTCGCCACCATTTCGTTCCTCTGTCTGTCTGCTTTCGTCAGGAAATTCGGCCTCCGGAGATTCCTGTTCTTCGATAAGCTCCGCGATGAGAGCGAGACTGTGAGGAAGGAGTACACTCAACAATTCAACGTATGTATACGCTGTTGCCCTCGCATTGAATTAGATTTTCATTTTTGTGCTAATCCCCCAAAAAATTCCAACAGAATTTTCGTCAATAAAACCCTAATTGGATGAAATTGTTGCTGTGAAGATTAGAATTCCATCGATCTGATTGATTTACACTGCGGTTTTGCTCTATTGGTGCAGCTTAAACCTAATTGTTTACTGAACTAGGGTTCTTCCGATTCACAGTACTGTAAAAGCTTAATACCTTATCTTTACTGGATTGCTTGTTAATAGGAGCAGTATACTCGATTCCTTATTGCAGAATGATTTTCCTTGCACTTGCAGAGATCATTCAAAATCTTATTCATCTTTGTGCTACCCTGTTTTGCTGCTGAGGCTGCCTATAAGATATGGTGGTTTAGCTCCGGAGGAACGCGCATTCCGTTCTTAGGAAATGTCATTTTGAGCAACGCAGTTGCTTGCATCCTGGAATTGTGCTCGTGGTTTTATCGAACGGTGGTGTTTTTCCTAATCTGCATCCTCTTCCGCCTGATCTGCTATCTTCAAATTCTTCGAATGCAAGATTTTGCTCTAGTGTTCCAAGTTGAGTCGGATGTAGAATCTGTTTTGAGAGAACACCTCAGAATCAGAAGGCATTTGAAGATCATAAGCCATAGGTACAGAGTGTTCATATTGTGGGCATTGATATTCATCACTGCCAGCCAATTCACCTCTCTTCTGGTGACCACACGCCCCAATTCAGGTGTCAATATATATCACAGTGGCGAATTAGCGGTAATAGTTAACTAACTCGGCCATTCGATACGATTCATATCAAGTATCTATGCTTCTGTGCTGATCAGTGATCTCTCATTTTACTTTGGATGAACAGGTTTGCTCGGTGAGTCTTGTTGCCGGGCTCCTTATTCTGCTAAGAAGTGCAGCAAGAATTACACACAAGGCGCAAGCTGTGACTTCCCTAGCAGCCAAATGGCATGTTTGCGCAACCATAGAGTCATTCGAAGCTAATGATGCAGAGACACCAGTTGGCCGAAGAATTCATGAACAAATCTTCACTGGTAGTTCTGATGGTTCTGCTGAGTTGGACGATGTTGGTGATGAAGAGGATGAACTCGACAACACAAAATTTGTTCCCTCCCATGCCCAGACCACAATCTCCTTCCAGAAAAGACAGGCTTTGGGTGAGTTGAGCTAATCCCACCGGAATAATTGCTCTGTTGTTTTCATATTCCAAATTTTAAACCGAACTACACATTTATGTGAGATATTGCCAAGAATGCGTCGTATGGAGTGATTATATCTGAGTTTTGTTGTGCTGCAGTGAATTACTTTGAGAACAACAGAGCTGGAATCACAATATATGGATTCATGCTGGATAGAAGTTACCTTCACACCATATTCGGGATAGAGCTATCTCTAATGCTCTGGCTGCTAGGGAAGACTATAGGCATTTCTTGATTCAACCACACCCACGGCTGCTGGTTGAGTCGCCTTTTTTGGGACTTCAGATTTGTCGTCGATTCGATTCATTCCACAGTTGCTTGGTTTGTTCATCCTCTTCCTCCTCATCATCATCTCTTACCATTTGTATATTTATACACATGCATATATATATACACGTATATGTGGTTACACTTGCACATTGTCTTTCACTTATTGTTTCTTGGTTCTTTGTGGTTTTGGTGTGGTGTTGGTATAGTGACCTATGTAATGCAGAAGAGAGTTGTGTAGTTAGTTATATATGCAGAGTTTTTTTTGTGAGGATTCTGTGCTTGTCTTTCAGTGGACACAAGATGATCATATGATCCTTTCCAGACTGCGAATCAAACTGGCAAGTTATAAGTGTTTGTTTGTTTAATGTTTTTATTTGAAAAAGAAAATTGAATATAAAAAATAATATTTTATATTAGAATGTTAATTTTTGCAAAATGAAAAAAAAAAATTATATCGGAGAAAAATTGGGCAAATAAACCCTTTGTCTATTTATGTTTTTATTTTTAGTTTTAATATAATTTATTAACCTTTTTTTAAATACTGGATTTGATTTTTATGTTTCATTTAAAATGTTATTAAAATTCAAAATTTTTATTTAAAATATTACATAAAAAATAATAATAAATGTAAGGAAAGGTTAGGTTTTAAATTGCTATGTGTCTTCGTATCATTTATTATTGTTTTCTATATAATGGAGGAAAAAAGAATTTCTTATTTTATATGATTGAGAAAAAGTATAAATTTAGCATGTGTAGATATTGCAAAACAATATTTTATTATTAATGTATAGTTATGATATTGAATGTGTATTATATTATTTTTTATCATTTAAATTTATTTTTACTTTTTTAATTCAAATTTATTCTAGTTTAAAAATATCACTTTTATTTTTTTTACTATAATTTTTTTTTATCTATTTTTTTTTTTTAAATTCAGTTTCTGGTCTGGACATAATTTTAGGTGAGGTACTATTTGCATTATAAGAAAAAATTTAATACTCCGTATTATATAAGTGAATTATAATGTAAATAATAAATGACATATATGATGAAGAGAAGTGTTTGTCTGGGGGATTGGATTGCATTTACACTATTCATCCTATTTTTTTACATAAAAAATATCAAATCAAACACTTATTTTTTATTTTTTATATTATATTAAAAATCAATTTTACATTCAAAACATCACATTAACACATATTTATATCACATCGTACAACTATTCAAATTCAAAATTTTTACTATTCAAATCCCAATTAAAAATCCAAACCACCAAACAAACACACCTTAGAGGTGCATATTTAGCAAAGTTAGGTTCTATGAGTTTCAATCTTAACATCGACCTATCATTAAAATTGATGGGTGTTAATAATGAAAGAGGTTTTGCTAAGGCATTTTCTTTTTTCCTTTTTTTTTTATTCCCTATTACGTGGGAATCCAATATATATATATATATTTTTAATGATGTGGGAATCGTAACTGTTATCCGAAAGTCCGCATTGGGTAAACTTCCGGCTGAACCTAATACCCTGTAAACCAGGCTCGACGAAAAAGTCACACTAGACCAACCATGTATGACAGGTAACCTGAGGCGTCGGAAGCTTGAAAATTGAAGTTTATAGTTAGAATAACTACGACAAATTAGATGACACAAATGCTTAGTTAGATAAAAAAAAAAATCATTATAATAATAGTAATCAAAATTGATAAATATTTTTTTGAATAAAACTAATTTTGATATGTTTTTTTAGAACTATAAGTGATAAAAGTAGTATTGAATGACATCATTGTTTATTTTTACTCTATTAGGGTTTACTAATTTAAAAAAAAAAATCAAAACTAAAAATATTGAATAACCAATATCAATTAAATGATTCATTTTTATCCACAGTTACTATATGCAATTCAAATTCTCAATATGTCAAAGTAAATTTATTATGAAAAACAAAAAAAAAAAAAAAAAAAAAAAAGGACAAAACAAAACTGTGGTAAGTGAAATTGAATGTTTAAAAAAAAATAGAAATTAATTTAATTACTTAAAGAATTATTGAATATACCTTAAATCGAAATAAACATATAGGATTATAGAATCATGTTCAACTTTCTCCTAATTTAATTCTCAACCTTAACAAATTTAAAAATTTCTCCCATTAAGTAAAGTTACTTAAAATGTTTGATGTTTGGATAAAATGTAAATATAATAATAATAATAATAATAATAATAAGCTTGTCCCAATATTGCAGCAGCTGGAATTCAACCTCCACAACGATGGTTTGATCATCAACACCAATCTTTATCTCAAATTGCATCTAATCGTGAATGGGCTGTGTTTGCGTTAAGCCCACCGCCGCCTCCGCGGCGACGGGGAATCGGAATCCACGGCCAAGCAGGTTTCCCACCACGGCGTCGGCGCCGCCAAGCTGGTTTTCCGGTGATCAAAATACTACTGTCCAAGTCCACAGTTCACCCAAATTTCGAGGAGGCAAGATGAACCATACCCCTAACCACCCAGGCGCTTGGACGGTCCCCGGAGCCACCGCTGGCGAGCACATCGCCGCCGGTTGGCCTCCGTGGCTGGCGGCGGCGGCCGCCGGCGAAGCTGTCAGAGGATGGGTTCCCAGAAAGGCCACATCTTTCGAAATATTAGAAAAGGTCCCTTAATTTCTTAAAATATAATATGTAATTAATAAAGTATTTTTTTTATAATTTTTTTTATTTTTTAATATTAAATTAAAAAATTCGATACTACACAGGTTGGTCACGGTACTTACAGCACAGTATACCGCGCCCGCGATCTCGAATATGGCGGGAAGCTAATGGCATTAAAGAAAGTAAAGTTCGACAGCTACGATACCGACAGCGTTGGCTTCATGGTTCGGGAGATCGTCGTCCTCCGCCGCCTCGACCACCCGAACATCATCAAGCTAGAGGGCCTTATTACATCAAGAATGTCTACAAATCTCTACCTTGTCTTCAATTACATGGACCATGACTTATCCGGGCTGTCGTCGCGGCGGCCGTTGCCCGAGCTGCAGGTCGATCGATCACAACCGTCCGATCGCTTCTTCTTTGATATTTCGCCGTTGATCGGCTAATTGCTCTGTTCTTGCTATGTTTCAGATTAAGCTTTACATGAAACAGCTCTTCCTCGGCCTCGATCACTGCCACGGCCGCGGCGTTCTTCATCGAGACATAAAAGGATCGAATCTTTTGATCGGTGGCGATGGAGAGCTTAAAATAGCCGACTTTGGGTTAGCTAGTTTTGTCGAGAGTCGCCCCATGACGAGCCACATCGTCACTCTGTGGTACCGGGCGCCCGAGCTGCTACTCGGGGCAACGCATTACGGTCCCGCCGTCGATTTGTGGAGCGCCGGCTGCATACTGGCGGAGTTGTACGCCGGCGCGCCTATTATGCCGGGAAGAAATGAGGTTTCTTTATACGAATTTTGTCGTAATTGTCGCTCGATTCGTTTGAATACTTGATGTTGTATCGAACAAATCGTGCGCAGGTAGAGCAGTTGCACAAGGTCTTTAAACTCTGCGGATCGCCTTCGGAGGAGTATTGGGCGGCGTCGAAGTTGCCGAATGCTACGATCTTCAAGCCTCGACAGCGGTATAAGCGGCGTGTTGCGGAAATATTCAAGGATTTTCCGGCACCGGCCTTAGCACTCGTGCAACGGCTCCTCGCCGTTGATCCTGCCGATCGTGGATCGGCAGCATCCGCCTTAAAGAGCAAGGTATATTGTGCGCATATATACAGTGACGAAACTAACATCTAAATTCCGAGGGGCAAAATATGATAATATATTTAATATTTAACTAATAAATTTAAATAAATAATAATGACAGAATTATATATATAAATTTAGATAATTTTTGGGGACAAATTGTATATAAATATATAAAAATTAATATTTTTAATACTAAAAAAATCATTAAAAAATTAGCTTGGGGTCCCCTAAGCCCTAATATAATTTCGTTTCTGCATATATATATATATATATATGAAAGCTGTTACAATGCTGAATTTTGTTGAGTTGACTTTTGTGTATCGTTTTACAGTTCTTTAAAACAATTCTAATTGCACATATTCAGAGGCCGTTACAATGCTAAAGAACTCCGCACATATATATATATATATATATTGAGCTGTTATAATGTTGAATTTTATTAAGTTAGACTTTTACGTGCCATTTTACAGTTTTTCCGGACAACTTCACATTCCGAAAAAGTGATCGATACGAAGGTCCGAAGCAAGACAAGAGGATTACGGCGCGAGTCTCTCCCCGTCGCTCTGATTGAATACATTCCAAGTAAGCAATCAGTTGGGGCTTTCGGGGCAAAGGCTAGAAAGGACATCATCGGAGGCGACCGGAGAAGGATTGGCGCGGATGCGGGTGATCTATCCGGCACATTGTCCAATTCGGTTGGTCCGAGGACTATGATGTCGGAAGATTTTCGACATATAGGACCGATGTCAATACATGGTCCGAGGCTAAATACTAGGTTTCTAGGAGTAGCAAAATCTACGACGAGGCAAAATGGCGGAGAGATGGATAATGCGAGTGTTGATCGTCGGCGGCGCTGCGGAGCTGACGGATCCGCCGCCGGCGATCGACGCCGAAATGGCGGCTGTGGATCGAATAAGAACCAAATTTGATACTCGGGGCCGCTGTTAGCTGATCTATTGTTTAAAGATATTAATGATTTTGGTATCGAAAAAATTGTTGGAGGTCAAGTGGGTAAATAAGAAAAGCATTGTTGGTTTTATTTAGTGTGTTTGTTCGGAATTTTTTTTTTCAAAATTTATTATTTATCAGTTTTTTAAAAAATATCAAATTAAATATTTATTTTTTATTTTTTATATTATATTAAAAATTAAATTTACGTTTAAAATATCACACCATCAACCATTCCTTACGGGACTACAACATACAAAAATTTGTATTGCCTATCTCTATAATATAAACCCAAATCTAAAAAAGGGAATGCATCCCATATTTTAAATGTATTGTTTATTTAGATTAAAAATAATATATTTCGAGATAGTTCCTATTATTCTTTAAAATATAAATACAAAGTGTGTGATGTAAATCGACATAAACGTTGCTGTGACCAATTTTAGACGGCTCCATTTATTTGCATTATTTATTATTAATATTTTATTATTATTATTTAAAAAAATTCAAAAGTTCTGAAATTTTTATTTAAACAAAATGAAGCATTTTTTATACAGAATAAACGTGAGACTTTAACAATGAGGGACATGTTTTTGTCATTGCCAGCATCAATTTATGTGGGCAGCTTAAGGTGTCAAAATTGAATTCCATCCGAAAATCGAATCCATTTGATCTGAAAAATTGTTAGATTTGGGTTTGGGTGTTTAGATTTTTAAAAAAATCAAATCAATTTGAACCCGAAATGAAAAAAATGAATTTGATCCGATCGAGTTTTGAGTTGACCTAATAATTCGAAATATAGAAATCAGGTCATCAAACAATTCGAATCTCAAACCCGACTTAGTTTAATAATAATAATAAAACAAAATAGTAAAAAACCCCATGTAGTTTTCCGAATATGCTGAAAATCGATTGTGGTTCTAAAATTTCAAAAAAACTTACTTGTGATTTTCAAAATGTTGCAAAAATCCCCCTCCTTTATGATTAACGACAGTTGCATTTCACAGGCATGAAATGCTATTTTTGTCCATAAATATTTTTGTATAAAATTACTAAAATACCATAATAATTGACTTCTTACAACAATTTTTCTTCTTCCTCATTCTTCTTAGTTATTCTTTTCTTTCTTATTCCTCTGCATATTTTTTAAATTTAATATCTATTCTTTTTTTTTCCATTTTAAATCAGCTAAACACGATTAAATTTGAAATCAATCTCAAATTTATAACACTCATCTAGTTCCAAACCGCCGTTTCTTGAACCGACGATTACGGTTCAAATAGAAATCAGATTCAAACCGGGAGCTGTTGTGAAGAACAAGAAGGAAAAAGAAAAGGGAAAAAACTTGGTGCAGCTGGTTGCGGCAGTGAAGAAGAATTCGGGATGAAAGAATAATTGGGGAGAAAAAATAAAGAAGAAGAAAAATTGAAAAAAAAAAAAAACAGAAAATTTGAGAAAAAAAACAAGATGTAGCTCCATCCCTTCAAACCCACTTCTTACTCCTCTTTTTCTCCTTATTTCCTGCTCCATCAGCTTACGTCGGTCGTTTTCTTTTTCTTTTTATTCTTTAATAATTCTTAATTCTTTAAAGAAGAATTCGAGCTGAAGAATAAGAAAAAAAATTGAAAAATAAGAGAAAAGAAAGAACTGGGTAGGGCTGCGGCCGCGGCCACGTGAAGAAGAATTAGAGAAAAAAAAAAAGAAAAAAACAAGAACGAGAAAGAGTCTGGTACTGGTGAAGAAGAATTTGGGAAGAAGAAGATGGAAGAAAAAACAATATGGTGTGATTGAGAAGAAGAGAAGAAGAAAGAAGAGTAAAAAAGATAAATTAATTAAAAAATATATAAATAAGAATATAACAGTAAAATATGATAAAATTTAAGGTTGTTACTAAAATTTAAAGAGATGACGAATGTGCAACATTTTGTAAACTACTTGTATGATTTTTTGGAATTTTAAAATTACTAATTCGGAAAACCACGTGGAGTTTTTTTGCTATTTTGCTTAATAATAATAATATTAATAAGTTATTTATTTAAAATTATAATATATTATTTCCGTCCGACTATAAAATAACGTTTACTCGAGTTGATCTTTGGAAAGAAAATGGTAAAAATATTAATATAACGATGTTTACCAAAAAAATTATATAAATATAAGAATATTTTTAATATTAAGTATAATAACACAAACAAGAAGAAAAAATATTACAAATAAAATATTATAAAAATACAATATACTAATTATAAAAGAAAAAAATTAGATTTTCGAATTTGTTTTGTATTATATTTTTTTAAATAAGTTTATATTTCCAAAATAAAAAAAATTAATACATTTTATATATAAAAAAAAAATACACTTTTCTCTTTATTTTTTTATTGACTTATTTTTATAATTATTTTTAAATAAGATTAAAAATAAAATAAAAGTTTGACCAGTAACAATATTGATTTATGTTTATTAACAACACAATCAAGTAAACACACCCAAAAAAAAAAAAAAAAAAAAAAAGGGACAAAAAGGAATAAACCCATCGCCAGACCCAATTTTACGAAATTTCGTAATTACATATTTCACTTTTTTACTGTCCTTTTTTGTATATATAAATTTCTATATTGACTTCTCTTTTCCTCTCTCTCTCTTTATTTCTCTGTGGAAGAGTTTCGAGAGATCTGGGCCGGGGTTCCTGTTTCTCTCTCCGAAACGGTCCTTTCTGTCAAACCAGGTCCGCTCCTCAGATTCTCCGCCGTAGCTGTCCGGTGAGCTACTTCATTGATCTTGTTATTCATCCTGGTTTCCTTAATTATTTGGATTGTTAACGGTGGTTGTGGTTGTCCAATTTTCGATTTCTAGCTGTTCTTTGAATTTTCGCTTGATTGAACTGTAATTTTCTCGATCCTACAAGTTAAATCAGGATCCTGTTGTTTGATCGAGTGAGAAATGCGTGTTGACTTTGTTTGTTCCGTATTCATTTTTAATGGTGGAGGCACAGTGAATATTGTTTCCTTTTGATTTGGATTGCTTCCTTGGATTGGTTGTATGCATCATCTTTTGATTATCTCTGCTGCGTGTAATTTGTTGGAGGCTAGTTTTGGTCGGCTGCTTGTGCATGTTGTGAAATGAAGGTTTTGTTATTTGACTATTTTTTTTAATTTAATTTAAATGTTTTTTGTGGTAATTTTCCGCTGAAGGTTTTGGATTTGATTTGTTACTTATGGTTTTGCGACTAGATTTCAGATCCGTTCTAGTTTTCAGAGAACAGGCTGCTTTCAGGTTTGATGTTTTGATAGTTCTTAGGCATGGTTGTGAATGGTTTTTGTTTATGTTCGGGATCTATCAATTGTTGTCTATGATTCAAGAGATTAGGAAAGTTTCAATTGTTATCTCTGGTTGGTTTTATGGGTAGTTGTGTTTGTCAAAAGAAGATAATTTTGTGGTTGAAGATGATTCAAATTTCTAACTTGATCGGTTACATACATGTTCATATATTATGTTAATATTTATTCATTGACGACATTCCCCCTTACAAATTGTTTCTTCTTCATCTATCAATGGTGATTTACTGATTTCAAATGTTTTTAATTATATATTTTTTTCCCTTTGGTTCAGGGAGACTCAACCGTTTTTCAAGTGGTATTTAATATATATCATGGGCGTGGAGATTGTGGAATCTAACTTACCAGTTGTTGAAACCAAAATTGAGGAGAACATGTCAGGGGATAGTGAAAAAGTGAACATAACATTTGGATCTCATGTTGTTGAGCCATTCAATGGGGAAGCTAATAAAGTTTCTGATCACAATCTTCCAAAGGATGCAGTTGATGAATGGCCAGAGCCCCAGCAGATACACCCCTTTCATATTGTTAGATATCGTGTGCTGGAAGACCAGAGTCTGAAGGCCAAGCTTGATTTGGCTGATAAAGAGCTACAAAAAAAGAATCAGGCTCGGCTGCAGATTGTTGAAAAACTAAAATCTAAGCGGGTATAATATGGTCTTCTTGTGCTTGGTATAGATCATATATTAATTCTCTGTTACAGAATTATCTGCTGACTTCCAATTTGCTGCTACTTTTTCAAAGATATATGTTATGTGGGAGCTTATCAATGTATCGTTTTGAACTACATAAATATGCTCATGCACTGCATGTGTATCTGAGATGTATTAAGGCAATGCATGAGCATTCTCGGGAAGATCCCCGTAACAGTCTTATCTGAAAAGCTTGACCAACTAGACTCATGTGGAAACACAGGTTTAGGAAAATAATGTTATTTAGAATTTGAAATCCTTCTGGAAGAGGTATCAATTAAGGGGATACATGGGTCAAATTTTGTGACATGCAACAAAAATAGGTGTTATTTTCACCTCGATTAGAAGAGTCTAAAACACTAGGAATATAGTCCAAATTATACTGAAATATATGCGACTCTTTTCTTAAATCCATTTCAAGACAGTTGGAAGTGTACAAAAAAATGCACTCTCTTTGTGATGTTTCACTTTCAAATTGTTTTGAGATTGCCCAGCTTGCTTCTAATATTTTGAAGAATTTATGCTCTTCATTGTTGGTAACATCTTTTGGTTTTTATATAAGCATTTTAAATACCAGAAAACTATGATATCTTTTTATTTTTTGTCTCTTAGCCACATGAAATTTTCATGTTTTTTGTTATCTCATCAAAATATGTGAATGTTTATATTTTCTTGTTTACTGTGCTTCAAAGTTAAAGGTCTTTGCAGATGAAAGTATGATTGATAGTTTCCAATTTTTGTAATAAGCAGTTGCTAGTGTTCTGTCTGGAAATGATTTTCCTATTATAGAGGTTTGAATCATGCATCATGTGGGATTCATTCTAGTGTCTGCATTGAATTCCAGGGGCTTTTGTTGAATTGGCAATAATATATGTTGAGTGAAGTTGTGATAGAATGCTTCAGTATGCTTATAGCCTTAAAATGTGCTATCTATGTTCGCATAGCCGAGGGGTTTTCTTTTTTAATTTGTATCGTTCAATTTTCTTTGCATATATGCTGTTTGCTTAATCTATACTAGCTCTGATATATCAATGTCACATGCTCACATCTTTGTCTAACTGCTTTTTAGGGTTAGAAGGTCTTCACATGGAATTCAATTATGATATATTAATGACATTACTAATGTATTGCAGGCAGCTCGATCTCAAGTGATTTCTCAAATAAGGTTATTAAGTGCTGAAAACAAACAGTTTAGGACACTCATGGATGAAAAAAGAAAAGAAATGGAACCTCTCCAGCAGGCTCTTGGCAAGTTGAGAGGATCTTCTGGAGGTAGAGACAGGGGCCCAGGTGTATGCTCTTCTGAGGAAGAGCTCAACAGTGTTGTAAGATCTAATGTGCATTTTGTTGAATTTGTAGTACCCACACTTCATTGATCGTGGCACAAAGATTTGACTGAGAATTTGTTCTTACCACAAAATAAATTGTCAGATAAAAAGTTTACAATACCGGATTCAGCACGAAAGCATTCCTCTCAGTGAAGAGAAACAAATCCTGAGGGAAATTAAGCAGCTTGAAGGGACAAGGGAAAAGGTTAATGCAAATGCGGCTGAGAGGGCAAGGATTCAGGCTGCAATGGGTGAAACGGATGCAATTCAAGGCCAGGTCAAAGTAAGTAGTTAGGGGTGTTATATTACACATTTGGTCATTTTCAAATTATTCTGCTGATAACTTTTGCTATCATGTGCTGTGGTATTGGTTATTATGTTTACAATTACGTGTTGCAGTTGATAGGAGTGGATCTTGACGAAGCTCGAAAGGAAAAACAAGTGGTCAATGCGAAGCTGAAGCAGCTTGATGAAGAGAAATTGGCAATAGAAAAAGAGATTGATGCTTTAGAGGAGGAACTGGCATCGGTTACTCAAAAGAGAGACAAAACTTTTGAAACCATTAAAGACATGAGGAAACAGCGAGAGGAAGGGGTAAGCTCCTCCAGACTATGGGTTAATATATTGATGTTCTAAATCTAGTACAATTATGAAGCCTTACATATAATTTAAACAACTTCACATAAATTCTTATTAATATCCGGTTTATTTCTATTATCATTCTATGAAGCAATATGCATGACAAAAAGTAAATCAGTATAACTATAATTAAATGAAGTCGGTAATACTTCTTATAGCTGGCCTTCCAAGCCAAGCATATGACTTTATTTTTCACTATGATCCTTACTGTGAATGAATTATTGTTATAATATATATATATATATATCTTTTCACCACTTCTGTATATGGTAATTTGATTGAAAGAGGTCCAAATCATGGAGACTGCTCTATGGTGTGGAATATATGACAGCTAGTTAATTGATCGAACATAATCATTCTCTTTGTCACTTAGTTCAAATGCCACTTCTGAAGCCATAAATTTAAATGTTCTACTGATTCTATTTCCTAACTTGCAGAATTCCCCTTTCTATCAAAACCGTATGCTGTTGACCAAAGCAAAATCACTTGCAGCAAACAAGGAAGTTGATGCACTGAAGGAGCTCGCAGAAGCAGAAGTATGATGGATAATCTACTTTAACCAGTCTCGGTTCTGTGCAACAATTTTCTTTTCTTTTTTGACATACTGAATTTTTCCAATATTTGTCTGGTAGGTTGAGAAGTTTATGTCCCTCTGGAATAGTAATAAAGCTTTCAGAGATGATTATGAGAGAAGAATCCTTCCATCCCTCGACATGAGGCAGTTGAGTAGAGATGGTCGCTTGAGGAATCCGGGCGAAAAGCCACTAGTGGAGACATCAACTCTATCTGAAGTTGAAGCTGTCAAAGCAGTCACAAAACAAAACCCCCAAGAAGACGTCTTAGCACCTACCCCGGTTGACATCTCTTCTGACCAGAAAGTTGAGAAAACAAAGAGTGCTAAAAACTCTAAAGATGGAAATAAGAAAAAGGAAGCCGCCTTAGAAAAACATGAACCAGTCGAGGAAGAGGAGTACTTCTCCAATGATAAGGAAACTCTTCCCAAGAAGGAAGAAGTCGATGAGGAGAAATTGAAGCAGCTGAAAAGAGAAGAAGAGATAGCCAAGCGTAAGCAAGCTGAGGAAAGGAAGAAAAAGCTAGCTGAGAAAGCTGCTGCCAAAGCCGCAATAAAAGCTCAGAAGGAAGCTGAAAAGAAGCTCAAGGCAATCAATATTTTCCGCTGCTTATCTCCATTCTCTGCACATTAGCTCTAAACTAATCACTCTTTGTTTCGATTCACTCAGGAACGTGAGAAGAGAGCAAAGAAGAAGGCCGGGGTTACTGATGCTCGTGCAGATTCTGAAGAACCAACTGAAGATGCTGCTGTTGCTGCTGCTGCAGAGGTCACTGAACAGCAACCGGCTGAGGACAAAATCGAAACTCCATTGCCACAAAAGCCCAAGGATCGCAAAGAGCGTGCTACAGTGAGGCATAGAGGTCGCCCCAGAGGTACAGATTCACTCCCTAAGGTTATGCTGAAGCGCAAGAAAATGACGAACTATTGGATGTGGGGTGCTTATGCTGCTGGTGCAGCTGTGGTGATTCTGCTACTGGCGGTGGCTGGATACCGATATCTTAGTTGAGGTATTGTTCCAAATAGGGCAGACTTGTCCTTGAGACGATCAGACAGACAGACAGACTGTAATGGTGATGGGTTTCGGGTAACGGGAAACTGGTTTTGTATTAAGGAGAGCCTAAGTTTTGTTTTAGCTTCGGATGTTGTGGTTTGTTTTGGCATATACTATAGAAAGGCCTGAACTTGAAAACTAATAATGTTTGGTGTCACAGAATAGCCTCTTAAAAACACTTCACTTGGAAACTATTAGTATTATGTTTCTTTTACTTGCATGTTTTGTCTGTGTTTTTAAAATGTGTGTTTAACTACAAAAATTGGCAGTCTAAATTTTATCTGATATCACGATTTCAAGAATATTTCGATAATACTATTTTATCAGAAAAAAAGTGGTGTACACGTGTCGGGCGATGATGTATCCGGTGCAGAACACCGGGTTCAGCATGGAGTAATCCTTGGCCAAGGATCTAAAACGGCTCTTGATTTCAAATTTGAAATTCCAATCTTCCCCCGACACAGCCTTTTTAGTGCCACCACAGGCAGCGGCGCCACCGGGAAGACAACCACATTTCTGAGTTCTCCGTCGAAGTCTCAATCAGCGGAGAAATCTTCTTCGACGAAGCAGCGCCACCGCCAGTACCAACAATCATCAATGGAAAGCTTTAGCAATTCCGGTTCCGAATTCAAAAGGAGATTTGAGGCCTACAACAGGCTTCAGGCTGCCGCCGTTGCATTTGGGGAGAAGCTCCCCATCCCTGAAATTGTAGCTGTCGGTGGACAGTCCGATGGTAAGAGTACACTGCTGGAGGCCCTCCTAGGGTTCCGTTTCAATGTGCGGGAAGTCGAAATGGGCACACGTCGCCCCCTCATTCTACAGATGGTTCACGATTCCACTGCTCTGGAGCCTCGGTGCCGATTTCAGGTCCTTCACGTTTTCTCCTTCTTTAGGTTTCAATAATAGCTTCCGCGAGGATCGTGCATCTTATTATTATATGCATTAGGGGTTCAAGTAGTTTTACATTGGATTTGAAATTTTGAATAGAAATCAGTAAAACCGCATCTTCATTTTGCTGATGATCTGCATATCAGGAGGAGGACTCTGAAGAATATGGGAATCCTATTGTATCGTCCACAGCAATTGCAGATACCATACGCTCTCGTACGGAAGAGCATTTGAGGAAGACAGGATCTGCAGTTTCTTCTAAGCCCATTGTTATGAGAGCAGAATATGCTCACTGCCCGAATCTAACTATTATAGATACTCCGGGATTCATTCTCAAGGTATTAGACAAAATTCTGGATAATAGATTGTGCATGTTTTGAATATTATTTGGTAATAATGGTTAGAGATTGAAATGGAAACAGGCAAAGAAAGGTGAACCTGAGAGTACTCCCGACGAAATTTTGTCAATGGTGAAGTCCTTAGCTAGTCCGCCACATCGGATACTTCTATTTCTTCAACAGAGTAGCGTTGAGTGGTGCTCATCCCTCTGGTTGGATTCTATTCGTGCAATAGACCCAACATTCAGACGAACAATCATTGTTGTCTCCAAATTTGATAACCGGCTTAAGGTATGCTATTTCTACATTTGTTTAAAGGTTCTGTTTGAGAAATCTTAGTACTGAATCTATCAGTGGATCAGCATGCGAATTTTGTATTATGCTAGAGAAGAGTGTGCAACTTATTGATAAGTGTGATATGTACTGTTAAATATGTTCAGGAATTCAATGACCGATGGGAGGTGGATCGATATTTAAGTACAAGTGGATACCTTGGAGAGAACACTCGACCATTTTTTGTGGCTCTACCAAAGGATAGAAATATAGTTTCCAATGATGGGTTCCGTAAGCAAATAGCTCAGGTAGATGCTGAAGTTTTGCAGTATCTGCGTGATGGTGTTAAGGGTGGATTTGATGAAGAGAGGTACAAATCCTACATAGGTTTTGGTTGTCTCAGGGATTATTTGGAATCTGAACTCCATAAGAGGTATAAAGAAGCTGCGCCTGCCACATTGGCCATACTAGAACAGCGCTGCAATGAAATAACTGTTGATTTGGCTAGAACTGAAAGCAAAATACTGGCAACTTCTGATGTTGCTCATCTTCGCAGAACTGCCATGTTGCATGCTGCGTCACTCTGCAACCATCTGGTATGTATTTATCTGTGTCCGTATATAAAATTTAGGGATCATGGAGCAATGAAAATTTAGTTATGCAATGTGATTATTGTTTGTTATAATTGCCCCAGGAATCACTTCTGGATGGGGCAGCTGATCCAGCACCTGAGCAATGGGGAAAAACAACAGAAGAGGAAAAATTGGAGAGTGGTATTGGTGGTTGGCCTGGCGTTATTACAGATACAAAGCCACCCAATGCAACCCTTCGTCTGTATGGAGGTGCTGCATTTGAGAGAGTAGTTCACGAATTTCGCTGTGCCGCATATTCTGTGGAATGCCCAGTAGTGTCAAGGGAGAAAGTACTTTTCAAAATTTTGCTTTCTCTCTCATTTATATTATCAAATTGGGAAACTAAAAATTTTGTGCTCTTTCATTTAACAGGTTGCAAACATCTTACTTGCACATGCTGGCCGAGGCGGGAGTAGAGGTATTTCTGAGGCTGCTGCAGAAATTGCACGATCTGCAGCTAGGTCATGGCTTGCTCCTCTTCTTGACACAGCATGCGACAGACTTGCTTTTGTGTTGTGCAATCTGTTTGATATTGCTATTGAGAGAAACCGACATCGAAACTCAAGATGTAAGTTCTTAAGCATAGTATTTGCATTCTGTTACACGGTTTATCAGGATAAAGGTTTCTTTTGAGATATTTTTAGGAAAATTACTAGTCTGATCAATAATTGTGGTCCAAAAAACTTTAAGGTCTGTTCTATTTTCCTGAAGTGTCTCCATCTGTAACTGTAAACACAGTCGAGTTTGAGCCCTTGTGCATTGCTTTAGAATTAGGATTTTTAATTCTGAATGATGATAATATTGACAATGAACACTTTAGGATTTTCAATCTTACAAACTTAGTCATTACGGCCATGTCTCAATGCTATCAAGATACGTAGTGCTATGAGCTGGATGTGAGACCTCATAACATGGTAGATGTGAATTCCTCCCTTCAACAGGATTGTTTTCTCCTTCTCTTTTATGTCTGTGTTTCCATATTTATATTTATTTGCATTTCCTGGAAAGTTATTAATGTGATTTGCTCCTTCTATAATTATACTGGTGCTCATTCCACCATCACTCCAAGTAGCCTTTTTAAGTCATTAATAAATATGTTTAAAAGACAATATTGGTACAGTACTGCCAAGTTTATTTATAAGAGAAGATGACAAAACAAGCATTATAATGCATTGAGGCTTTAGTTTAAAATTTTTAGTGGCGAGCTTGATTGAGATTTTGAGATTCTGAGGGATATGAATGGATGTTCTTGTGATTGTTAAACGAGAGAAGATGCATATAATGATCTAGCTGAAGGTTTTATAATTATTACTTGTTCAAAACATTAATCATATTTTAAAGTGTTAGCTTCAACCCCTTTTCCCTTCTGGCTATTCCTCTTTCTTGTTTCCCTTGTTTCTCCCTGTCGGCTAGTATTCCTAGTTTTTACTTGATTTATTCCTTAATTATTTTTTCCTTTTACTTCTATATAGATGGAGACATGGATGGCTATGTTGGTTTCCATGCTGCATTGAGGCAATCTTACCACAGCTTTGTAAGGAATCTTGCAAAACAGTGCAAAAAAGTGGTCCGTCACCATCTTGATTCAGTGACTAGCCCATACTCTCTAGTCTGCTACGAGAGTGATGCAGCCGGGAACTTCAACTATCGAGCAAATCAAACTTCAGCTGGATCATTCTGCTTTGATCTGTCTGCTGAGAAGCATGTATCATGCAAGGAAAGAATCAACAATCAAGAAAACATCCCCCTTGAGAAAAATGAGATCACACCTGGTAAAGCACCTGAAGCTAGAGAAGCTCTTCGTGAATGCCAGATGACTGTGCCTGAGACCCCATCACCCGACCAGCCCTGTGATGGAGACTATGTAGTCAAGAAGGAACTCGGCAACTGCATTGACGTTGGTGCAAGAAAGCGCCATTCCAGAATTGTAGGAAGTAACAGGAATTCAGATAATCTCAGAATCATCGCAAACACTGCCAATGGTACCCTATTCAGTAATGGAGATAATGCATCCAAACCAGGATCCGGATCATCAGCATACATAGAGATCTGCTCAACTGCTGCTCAGCATTTTGCTCGAATTCGTGAGGTTCTGGTTGAGAGGGGTGTGGCCTCATCTCTAAATTCCGGGTTCTTGACCCCATGGTATCTTCTTAAAATTAATATCTGCATTTCTGGTCTACTATGTTGATTGTTGTTGTAATAATTACCGAATGTTTGTGCAGCCGAGAAGAGCTGATGGTGGCACTAGGGGTCGATTTATTTGGCGTAAAGGATGAGAAATTCATGGACATGTTCGTCGCACCGGAAGCAATGGATGCACTGGAGAATGAAAAACAGTCCCTCCAGAAACGCCAGAAAATCCTCCACTCCTGCTTGAATGAGTTCAAGAATGTTGCCAAGGTACTCTAAAACCACTTTTATGTATACTTTTATCCATTGATTGGTTGATGATCATCAACAATTTTATTCTCTTTTACATGCATTAAAGTTGTTGATTTATTCCTGTTCTTATTTGATACCAAAAATGAAATTTTAAGTCACACAACTTGCATTTTTAGATTCCTTTATGTAAAAAATATGCCAAATTTCAAGTAACAACTTTTCATGGCATTCCCTTTATTTAGGGGGAATCAAGAATTGGAGTTGTCATTTAAATTTCCCACAATGTTGTTTGCTGTTGTCTTTTTACCTTTTTGGTTTGTGGATAGAGAAAATAGTTTCAAAAACCACCCACTCCAAAAAACTCTACTTTTGGCCTGTATAAGTTGGACTTTTGGAAATGGCAATGTGTGTGTCCAGTTTGGTTTCTAAAATTATTGGAATTTGGAATTTGGAAGTTAGATCAATAGAATAAAATACTATTATTGAATATGACCATAACTGCTTTAGAGAATAGGATGCTCCAACCCACAAAATTACAAATAAGAGTATCATATAATACTCTCTTTGTTACACCACAAATGACATTTTATTTTACAAAAAGATATTTTATTTAATTTATCAATTTTAAATATATTTAACAAATATAAATCAATTTAATTAAAATTTTAATTTCTTAAACATTCTTATTTTTATATCTTTTTAATTAACAAATATTTTTATTTATTTATATTATATAAAATTTTATTTTTGACAAAATAATATTCATATCGTATATATATTTTATTAAGATATAATTATAAATATTGTACATTGCTCAAATAAATAGGTTTTATCTTTGCTAAAGTTAATTAAAAAAAAAAATAGCCTTTCTTTAAATTAAGTTTTTAAAATTTTAAATTAAAAATACTACTCTTTTCATTTTGCTTGCCATGTTTGAATGATGTAAACAAGGATAAGTAATGCGGACATTGTAAGGGGAGAGGAGTAATTTGATGTTATATTTTATTAAAAAAATAAATAAATATTTTATATAATATTTAAGAAAAAAATTATTAATAAATAATACTCTATTTAAAAATATCAACGTAAATAGATTCTAAAAACATCCAAATAGAAAACACCACTTTAAAATTCAAAAAATAAAAATAAAAAAACAAACGCAAGAGTGGGCGAAAAGAGAAGAAACATATAACAAGAAATTCTTCAACCTTTTTCATTCTTCTTCTTCATCACTAACTAATTCCCATCTCTCTCTCTCTCTCTCTCTAGAAATGATCATCAACAACAGCATATCAAGTGAGACTGAAACTCCGCCGCCGCCGCCTCCGCCACCATCATCGTCGCCGTCGTCTCCGAGCACCACTTTTGTCCAGGCCGACATCTCCACCTTCAAGCACGTCGTCCAGATGCTGACCGGTTCCTCCTCCGCCGCCGCCGCAACCACCCACGGCAGCAACTTCAATCTCAATCTGAACCTCTACCAGCGCCGCCACAGCAACTCCCTCGTCATCGACACCTCTGCCCTTCCCCGTCACACCTCCGGCCTGTCTCCCTCCATGCTTGATTTTCCGGCGCTGGTGCTCAGCCCCGAGGAGGAGGAGGAGAAAGCCATTGCCCACAAGAAATTCTATCTTCATCCATCTCCGACCACCGCCGCCGCCGCCCGCCCCCAGCTCCTGCCGCTCTTTCCGGTGACCTCGCCGCGAGCTTCCTCCGCCGTCTCTGCTTCCACTACTACTACTACTTGATATTTATATATATATATATATAATCAAATTAATGATTTACTATATAAATGAAATGCTCGTACTTATATTACATAGCATTTTACACACACAACAATTAATAAAATCTGAGTACTAATACACAGGCCTTTCTGTTCTGTCCAGTTCAGTTCATGCAATATTTATTTATTTAATTAATTCCCTCTGTCCTTCACCTCTTCTCCATAAATCATATCTTACGATAAACAAAACCTTGGATTACCAAAAAAAAAAAAAAAAAAAAAAAAACGGAATGATCCAAGAACACAAGACCCACAGAAACCGTAAGAAAACTGTGGGCGTAAATTTTGAAAAGGACAAAAGCTTGACCAATCTTACGTCATCAGTACTCAGTACGTCGCCTAGTGTAACTAACGGCTTTAACTTGATGATGTACTGTTGTATTGTTTATCTCACGACAAGACAAGACTAGACTAGACTAGACTATTTATTATAATTTGACAAGTAATTATTAATTGTAAGAAAGAATCCATATCCACACTTCAATTAAAATTAGCCCATCACTCACTCACTCACTCACTAATAAGTAGTGATGCAATAACAATGGTGCAGATTGCAGAAGAGACAGAGACCCCATTTAATTATTTAATTAATTGATAATTAGTGGTCTAAGTTAAGTTAGGTTAAATTATTTTTGGCATCCGATCCAATTCCACATTCCCAGATCCACTTACATCAAAATTCTCCTACTCATATAATACATTGCTTTATATTAATATCGTCATCATTATCATCTTCATTATTATTATAAGTTAAGACATACATACCTGTAATTTTCTTGGTGAAGACTCAGATTCCTTGCCACTAAGTAAGTAGTGTAAGAATAGGATCCCCAACAATAATTGTATAGAGGAGGACAAGTCATACTTAATTGATTGATTCATTGCAATTCAAGAAAACCTTATAATTAATCATCAATCATCATCTTCTTATTCATACTTAAGCTACATACCACACACCAGGTTTATTGAAAATTCCTCATCTATATTTCTGAGAATGACTCGACTGTCTTGAACCCATGATTCTCCGGCAGAGGCCCGTTCCCGGGCCGAATGGATATTATCGCTTCCAAACCTGTATTACAACCACGTAACCGAGCAAGCATTATTAAAGGCTGGAAATGCACAGACTCATGTTTTCGGATAATTCCATGTTTGACATTACCTGCTGCTTTAGCTGCAATGGCTTCTTGATAGACATCTGTGACGAATAAAACTTGTGCCGGATTATCTACTCCCAGAGATTCTGTGATCTCAATGTAGCTTTGGGTTTCTTTCTTGTTCCTGCGATGCATACAGATGAATGCCAAACACAGCCAGGAATTAAAAACGAAAAGATGAAAGATTTATTTTGATTGAAGCTTCTTACCCTACTGTGGTGTCGAAAAATCCAGATAAGTATTTTCTGAGATCCCCATGATTCGTATTGCCGAATAAAAGCCTTTGCGCCAATCGGCTTCCACTAGAATATATGTATACCTACAGGAATTGTGTGGAGACGAAAATTTTGTAGCTTTAACATATTATCGCTTTAATCACGACGCAAACATCCACATCCATATAGAATCGAGTTATCAACCTTGATTCCGGAAGAATGCCACTTCTTTAGTGCATCGGGCACATCATCATACACGACGCCTTTTATCTCCTTATTCCAGAACCCAGATCGCCAAATATGTCCCTAAGAATTCGTTTTCGAACATTAAGCACTTCCCAGGGTAAAAGAAAAATTCATCATTTACATAAAAATTAATGAAAACACAAAAATATAAATTTTATTCCCACCTGTAATTGTTTCAAGGAAGTAATTTTCCTATCAGCTTTAATCATAGCTTCCACGTTAGCAACCAAAGCGGCGATTACTGCCTCTTTCTCTCCATCCGATGGAATTGGGACTGCCCCTTCAATGCCGTTTTCTATGTCTTCTTGCACCTACTTAAAACGAATTCTATCAAGCTCGAAAATTATGCCAGAATTTTGACATATTAAGCAAAACACTAGTTCTAATATTTGAATTACTTGAGCTCGCAGCAATTTAATATCCTCTGCTGTTTCGGCTGTATCATATGTCAGTTCCAAATGCTTCCTCACATTATCACGCGCATATGGGAATAGGACATCGGCAACAAATGTTATCGGGGTAGTAGTTCCTTCAATGTCCAGTAAAATGCAGCGCTGCAATTTATTTTTTCTTGAAGTGCTTAATAGGCATAAACAAAACTGCTCCGACATTTTGTAGCGTCGTAAAAATCTGTAAGAATTAGCTAAGAGCATACCCTTGCCATGCCAGCACCTTCGTTTAAAGCTCCCGCCTTCGTAGGGACTTTACCAAGAGTGCCTGGAACTCCTTTTGGAATTTGAATTGGACCGTGGGATGGCGTAGTCCAGTCCAATCCCAGCTGATAGAGTTTAATGGCAGCTTCAAACAGATAATGGTAGCATTCGGCCTGAGATATTAGTTTGTCGATAAATAATCAATATAATGTTTTAGTTGGACAAATGATGCGACAGAATCTTGGCTCTCTTTTCCCCCAAAACTCACCTGTGTTTTTGCGCTGATCCATGAATCTCCCCACACATATAACCCATGATTCCGAACAAGCACAGCTGTAGTTTTTGGGTATGCTTTAATCTGCCAAAATGATGAATTAATTACTCTATTGATACCAATATATAGCCCAACTAACATCTGCATTATCATCCAATCTAATTTGCAGCTAAAAACCAAATTTGGAGTGACGCAAAACAGTCTCAAAGTTCATTGCAAGGGTATGAACTGCTTGATCAATAAATTGCAATGTATGGTTTTGATGAAAAGAACATCCAATCCAACAAAAGATAATCGCCAAATGATTTTCAAGTTATTACACTGAACCTCGTTAAAATATTCTAAGGAAACCATGAAAAATGAGAACACCTTAGAGTCCTAGCATTCAGGATCATATTAGAATTGCGCATATCTCCAATTACGTAAATATGGATTTCCCAAATTAACAAAACAATAAAAATTATCTCAAGATTGTAAGGACAACATAGTTGAGAAATAAAACAGAGATCATCAGCAATCATCACTAGGGATAAATACTTTATAGCATGAATCCCCAATTCTGCAAATGAACTATGGCATTGTTCACTAACCGAAGCAATTCTAACCTCATTTTGAAAATGAACTCGTCATTTATTTAGAGTTAGCTAAGTCAAACTAAATAAAGATAAAAGAGATTTTCGGACAAGAAGCAAAATAAACCATACTGCTTCGGCAAAAGTATCTGCCAGCTCTCGCTCATGGGCAGTATTCTCTACAATCGGCACAACAAGCTCGTCATGATAACCATGGCCCTGAATTCCTTTGATCATTTCCATGTGAGTGATCTACAGGACAAACAGACATAAGCTGGAGCAGAACAAATTTTTTTAGCTCAAAACTTCACTAATAAGCATCCAATTCAAATTCAATACCCGAAATTCTTTCGACAATGGATCGATCATTGTGGCAATGCAAGTCTCCATCCCATGGCTGTGGATAACTGCACCGGAATTCCTAATTTCATACGCCTATATATATAACATATATTATACGATATCACCAGAAAACTCAGCAGCAGAATGCGCCAAAAAAATATTACTGAACTTTTATAATTGAATACAGAATCAAAATGATATGAAAACCTCAAACCTTCAAGAAGATGGGGCCGCAATCGGAACATTTGGGAGGCTTATTCGGCCATGGCTTCCCCGAAGGCGCAGATAATACAGATCCATCGGAAGATAGCACATACATATCCTCAGGCATCATCCTCTCCTTCTGCACACCTGCAAAATACCGGACAGAATCAACTCTCTCATCCCCAAATTAAAAACCCTAGAAACAAAACCCAATAGAGATGATCTCAATTAAGCACCAATTAAATCGACACCTGAGGGGGACATGACGATAAGCTGCTGCGATTTGGGAACGGAGTCGTCGTGAACCTTAATTGTGATGCTGCCGCCGGTGCCCGACACCCAGCCCAGGTGGTAAAAATGGCGGCAGAGCTCCGCAATCAAGGCCTTCGTTTCACTGACTCTGCTGCCCTCCAGATATGCCTGCGAGGCTATGTCCATTCTCACGGCTCCGTTAACGGCGGAAGCTGCTGCCATCCTTGTAGGGTTTATCTGGAAAGTATATAGGGAGTTTCCGAGCATATATACTTACTTTTCAATGGGATCGAAGCAGCAGAAGCGCCAGCGCCATACGTTTTTTGTTTTTCTTTTAATTTACGGTGGCATGACTATTGCAGGATCCTGATGCATCTTGGAATTTTAAGACCGATTCGATAACCTATGAACGTTCGAAGAAAATCAATGCCACCACCAGGACACACCCTGAAGAAGATGCTCTGTTTGGATCATTGTTTTGGGCCGTTTTATTTGTATTATAAAGATAAATTAATATTTAATTCACATCATTAGTATTTTTATAAAATATTAAATTAAAATAATAATTAAATTAAAACTTAAATAAAATTATAAATTCAATCAAAACAAAATAAATCGGTAATCTATTAGTTTAGTTTAGTTTAATTTTTTTCTAACTTTTGTTAATATAGTTTTAAAAAGTTAAAAATTGGACCTATTATTTTTAGTTTTTGATAAAATAAAAAATTTAGAAGATTAAAATACATAATACATATTTTAATAAAATAAGTAACAAATATAAGAGAGAAAAATAATATGTTCATAAAAAGAATTATAAATATTTCAAAATTTTGTATATAAAAAATAATTAAAAAAATATACATACCTTTAAAATATCAAATTATACTTTGTGAAATGATTTGATGGTTTCAATTTATGGAAAGATCAAGATGTGATTGAACTTTTTAAGTTACAATATTGATTTTTATTTATACGATTTTAATTTCACTATTTCATTTTGAACTATATGTATATGTATTCATTTCAATAATACATTTTTGTTAGCACTGCAACCATGCAAAATCAATACAATCAAAATTATAAAAGACCGTACCAAATAATTAATCAAAATACTAAAATTTGACCACAAAGGTAAAAACCATTGTTAAACATATTTAAACCTCCAACAGTGACGAGGCGGACCCACCAGCAGTTAATCACATTATAATTAGAAGGAAACTAAGATTAAAATAAATAAAATAAAAAAACCCACCAAATATATATAAGGTGAGTTTGAGTAATAATTAGGACAACCTAGCCAAAACCATACCAAATTTAGACTTAATTAATTAATAATAATATCTAATTAATTAAGACCAAACCCCATGCTGAAGACCAAACCCGACACCATCGGCACCACCACCACTGCCCAACGACTGCTCGCCGGCGCCACCGCCACCGCCGCCGACGGAGTATGTGGTGATCCTCCTCCGCCGCCGCCGCCGCTGGATCCCTCCTTCGGGGGGGCGTTCCTGCCGGTAGGAGCAGGTGCCGGTGCAGGAGCAGCGGCGACCGGCGGCGGCGGCGGCGGGCTCCGGACAGCGAGCACGACGATGATAAGCTTCTGGCCCTGGGCACAGTTGGACTTGTTGCCGGTGATGAAGAAGAACGGCCCCGACCGGTCGAATTTGAAGACGGAATTCCCGCCGGCGAGCTGGACCAGAGGGTTTCCGGCGCTGCATTGGGCGTAGTCGCCGGAATTCACCACCGCCACCGTGTCGGAATCCTTATTGTACTTAAACCCTGCGCCAATTTAAAAACAAAAAATAACAAAACAAACATGAATCTCCGGTGAAGACAAAAATAAAGAATAATATAATACAGTATATAATATTAATTGATATTCTCACGGAGGGTGTCGTTGACTTGAAATCTGAGGCGTTCGGCCCAGTGGGGGTAGGGCTCGGCGGGGCGGACCACCCACCCCACGGGGAACTCATGGGCACGTGAGGAGGAGCATCCCATTCCCGTGAGAAGAATCAGACACATACACAAATAGGTGCAGACGACAATGCCCGGGTTATTGCCCATTGAGATGATCACGTGCATAAATATATATATATTTATATGTATGTATGTGTGTGTATTCTTACTGATCTTTCTGCTTTGTGTATATCTGGGCTAACAATGGAGATCGATATTGCTTTATATGGAAGTGAAGTGAGAATGTACATACGTGTATATATATATAAGAGAGAGAGAGAGAGAGAGAGAGAGAGAGAGAGAGAAGGGGGGGAGAGAGGGAAATAAATCAGGCAATAAAGCATAATGAATATAGGGCCATAAATGAGGTAGAACATGTGTGGACTCAACGCCAACAAAAACATGCACACGTCCAATCAAATTGTGAAACGCCAACACCCCCCCCCCCCCCCCCCCCCCCCCCCCCAATTAATTTTATTAAAAATAATAATAATAATAATAATAATAATAATAAGTGTAGCAACGTAAAGACCAGTAATGCAATATAACCTCGAATTAGAATTTTCATGTAATAGATTTCTTAACATGTTAGTTACTATTTCTTTATTTCGTTGAACAAGATTATACGGTAACAATAATAGATTTTGCTATATATATATTGAACAAAGACAGTTGTAATTTTATTGTCAAATGACAGACAACAATACTCATTTAAAGGTATACAAAGTTTAAGAAAGAATACTCCTTTGTCTCAAATATCACCCTATATTCCGCATTGAGAATTTGAACTAATAATATTAAATATAATAATTTGGGAATAATTTGATCTAATAAAAAAGAAAAGGGTATATTTATTATTTTTTTATTTGAATAATATGATTAGAGAAAACATAAATTAAAAATTAAATATATTTAATCATTTTATATTTTGAAAATATGGCAAGATGTTTGAAATAGAATAAAAAAAAATATTATAAAATATTTAGGACGAAAAGAATAATATTTTGATATAAAAAGCAATAATTTGATAATAAAATAAAAATATTTATAAAAAAGAAATAATAATAAAATACTTTTAAAACAATTAATTTGTAATTAGACAATTCAAAATAAATATATATACTTTGTTCAACAGACTGAAACTTAAATAAAAATTGCAAGTAGCATCGTAGTGTTTTTACCCATCCTTGACAACAAGATGTGTCCATCTTGTGCTACATACAACAACTACCATAACAAATCTACATGAGAATTACTGTGCACAACCATAGCTGATTGTGGCTTCATATTTTGCTGTAGTTGTATACACCAGCCCCGGTTTTCCTACCGAGGCGCCCAGCATCGACATACTGCACGAGCAGAGGGCATGGCGCGTATTTACTATCCCCAAGGCCAGAATGGAGGATTTTCATGATAGACAAGCAGACATCGAGCCCAATGTGATCGGCAAGTTCTAGTGGCCCCATCGGGTGGTTAGTTCCCAGCTTCATTCCAGCATCGATATCTTCCTTTGTTGCCACTCCTGTGTAGAGCGTGCAGAATGCTTCATTTATCATTGGCATCAGAATCCGGTTTACTATGAAGCCGGGGAAATCCTGAGAACATATTGTCTTCTTTCCTAACCTGCAAATCCAGGTGTGATAAGAGGCATGAAACACCACAATACTTGTTAAGATAATGTATCATTCAATGAGGAACTAGGCACACTTATAAAGACATCGAATTGGGCAAGGAAATGTGGAGACATCATCTCCTGTGCCCCTGATGCATAGAGCAGGCCATGGTTCACATGTAGGAATACATTCAAACTTATATACTTCCCATATTCGAACCCCCAATTTAGAAAGTTATACGGAAGAATTGGCAAGAATTCTTGAATTCTAAAACAGATACAGTTAAATCACACACAAGAAATGGGAATCATTCCAATGTATAAGCCCCTTAACCTTTTCACCGAACATCCCCAAAGTTTGGCAAGTGATAATAATGCCTAATTACCAGAGTTTTTCGAGCAATCTTATGTGAACAGCTCCAGCATCTTAGAAAGATAGCTATCAGAAAACGTTCTAATAGTTGGAAAGATTAACATATCCAAGTACAGATAAGAAAAAAGTTCACTAAATTTGTTATAGCTGTGAGGACGAGGTTGATATAGTCGACGCTATATAAGATTTGAGCAAATCACGACACAATAACAGAAAGAAATATAAAGCTCCCAAGAGGCATTGGCAAATGCAAACAAGTACGAGTGAATAATATTTCTGTCGTCCTTATAAAGATGCACATAACTTGAGTTCAGGATTCATAAAAATAAATTCTGCCATTGCGGGAATATACAATCCTAACAAATAGCAATAGCAAGGAATTAAAGGTATGTGTTATTCACCTCTCAGCCAATAATTTTGTGGCCTCAAAGGCATCATCTGATGTTTGAGCTCCTCTGATAATCTCAACCAGTTTCATAACAGGTGGAGGATTCATAAAATGCATTCCAATTACCTGCAAATATAGGTGCTCTATTGATCCAAGGAGACAACAAACATATATTACATATAAATTATCATTAAATCTACCACTGAAGAGCACAATACCAAATCCAAACTGGATACATTCACAATAGTGAATAAGAGATTTTCTAGCATTTACCAAACAGTCCAAAGATGCAATCGTTATAATCATACATACTCTCATCTTTACAATACTGATACCCAATCCTCCATGTATGGTGACTTAAATAAGGGCTCATGATCTATATTCTATAGATACAATTAGCAAGAATCTGTGGGGAGAAGTGCATACAAGATATGATCCAGATATCAGTAAAATCATCTACATTTCACAATTCCAAAGTTTCAATAAACTTCAGAATTTCACATAATCTGAAAGTTCCCACATATTTCAATCCAGCGGCAAAAGCCTCCAACATTGGAATTGATCAATCTCTTAGATGGGCAAGTCGTTTAATGTAAGATTTCGATATCCAACTAGGTCTGAAACAGAATTTTTTTTTACCAAAATTTATTGCAAAATCGTTAGAATTGGCCACAGCTACTTAGAATTATGTAAAAGGAGGATCAAAATGAAACCTGGGCAGGACGACTGGTTACAGAAGCCAAACGAGTAATCGAAATTGAGCTAGTATTAGACGCCAGGATTGCAGAAACTTTTACAATTTTATCCAATTGTGAAAACAGCTTCTTCTTCACCTCCTCAGACTCCACAATCGCCTCTATTACAATATCCACTTGGCGAAAATCTTCCAAACTCGAAGTGCAATTCAAGTTCCTCAAAGCTTCATCGCCTTTTTCCTGTAGGAAAATCAAATCACCAAGTCAAACGCAAAGTTTGAATACTTCCAAAAAACTCTCCATCCGAAATTCGCAATCAAAAATCGATTCCGCTTACAACAATTTGCAATTCTCCTATTTGAGAAATTTCAACTAGAAGCGATAAAATTACAACCTAAACCGGTTCTGATATCGCAGATCAGCAATTTAGCGGTTAGACGAATACGAGTACCAATACCTTACTGATATGGGCTTTGGAAACAAGAGCCTGGATTCTGGAATAGATTGAGGTTTGCGCTTTCTCGAGAGCAGCGGAATCGGAATCGTGAAGCCAGACTTGAAGACCGTTCACGACACCTAGCTGCGCTATGCCGGAGCCCATCTGACCCCCTCCGATAACCCCAACGCTCCGAATCGCCGCCATGCCAACACCCTCTGAGACTTGTGTTGAACGACAGTCGCCGTATGTGTAAACAAATCGAATTTCATTTCCCGAGACTCTGAATATAGGGGGGAAATCCTACCGCTACCAGCAGTCCACCCCGTACTACTGACGACACACTCCACCCATTTTTGTACGTATTCGTCTTTTTTCTGTTGGGGTTGGTTTGGTCAAACTACAAAACGACGCTCCAGTCAATATGATCAAGTACACCATTAGAACACGGCCGTGTTTAGTGTTATCCTTTCTCATGTTTACTTAGCCCTATCAGTAGCTGATTTATGGTTATCTTTGTTAAATATTAATAATAATAATAATAACAATAATAATAATTTATTGTTATTATTACGATATGATCAAAATTTCTGATTATTTTCAAAATGAAACCTTACCCTTCTACTTATTTGATTATCATCAATAAGACCAAATTAAACGAGCATACAAATAACATGGAATTAATTAACAAAACATTAGTCCTTCAAACGACAAAATTAAATATCCGTTATTTATAATATAATAGTGTACATTGAAGATTTAATATTTGTATTTGATTAATAGTCAATTCAAATTTAAATATCAGAATTTCTAATCTATAGAAGATCAAATAAGGTCGTGTATGTTTGGGGGTTTGGATTTTGAGGTAGAGAATTGAATAGTAAAAATTTTGAATTTAAATAGTGATATGATGTAATATAAATAAGTGTTGATGTAATATTTTGAATATAAAATTGATTTTTAGTATAATATAGAAAATAAAAAATAAGTGTTTAATTTGAAAAAAAAAAAATGAAATAAATAGTGAAAATCTAATCCTCAAACAAACACATCCTAAGTAGCAAAATATTATTCCTTTACAATTATTCTACAAACAAACAAACAACAAACGGTTAATTAATCCTTCAAATGACAACCTCGTGCTTGCCTCCGCAGCTCCTCCACGTGTTTATCGGGTCGCCGGCCGCCGTCACGGTCGCCGGCGACGGAGTCTCTCACCCTCTCCGTCGTCGTTTTGGTGACGTCCCACGTGGCGTCCGCTGCCTGCTTGGCCATTTCGCCGAGCTTCAGCCCCGTCTCCAGCGCCCCCACAACCCCAATCCTCGCCATCTCCGCCACATCCTTCGCCGCATTCTCCACGTCCGCCGCCCCCGGCCCCGCCCTTCCCTCGCCCGACGCCGCCGGCGTTGTCGCACCGCCTCCAAACTGATACATACAGAAATTGAGAGATGAATTTAATTATTATTATAGAGATTCAAATAATGAAATCAACGAACCTTGTTGTTGACGGAGGCGGAGCAGAACCGAGCCACGCGGCGGTCGCCGGCGATGAGGAGGTTAAGAACAGGTCGTTTACAGGAAGACATTTTGGTACTTACAATATATTCAAATAAAATCGATTTTCCACTCAAGGAATTCTCTTAATTTCAATATATATATAGGGTAGAGTAGGGTAGGGTAGGGAAGAGCGGCGGGTCGTGTGGCGTGTCTATAAAATCGACACGTGTTTGGCATGCGCACATTGTGGGACACATCATATTCATTGGGTTATTAAAAGCGATCGGTTTTCCAAAAGTGGGGATGGTTAGGGTAGTACTATTACAAGTGCATGATCATTACTCCTGCTCTTGTACGACAATTTTTTAATTTCTTCTCCAAAATGTATATCGCGTCAAATTTATTTATTTATTTATTTTTTTAACTCCTTTCGTTAAATTTAATTTATTATTAATTTTGATAAAATTAATAAATTAATATTTAATTATTATCATTCATTTAATATTTATTTACAATAATATTAGTATTTTTATTACATTATTTTTTTCATTTATTATATTTATAATTAAATTTCTCAAAATACTTATAATTATTTTTTTTACTTGTTTGAGAATTTGGATTTTGAATTGGGATTTCAACGATAAAAATTTTAAATTTGAATAGTTGTATGATGTGATATAAATAGGTGTTGATCTGATATTTTGAATATAAAATTAATTTTTAATATAATATAAAAAATAAAAAATAAATGTTTGATTTGATATTTTTAAGAGAAAAAATGAGATAAATAGTAGAATTAAAATCCAATCCCCCAAACAAACACACCCTTAATATTTTTTTAATAAAATATTTCTTTTTTTAATCTATGAACTTACCCAAATTAGCTAATTTATTTTTTTCTATTTATTTTATAATTTTTTAATAAATTTTGTATAATCCTTTTAATTTACTTTTTACCAATTTATTTTTACTTTAAATTTTAGTATTATCTTTGAGTTTTTGTACTCAAACAAAGTGGCATAGTTAGCCGGACCTCATTTATTTTTCACCGTATTAATATTTAAATATTAATTATTATATCAAAATATAATATAAATTAAAAAAAAATTACATAAATATGTTTCATTAGTATCTTATAATAATAATAAAATGACATTCGTAAAAAAAAATTATATATAAAAATATTTTTAATATTAAGTATAATTATGTAAAAAATAAATATAATCTTTAAAAGCTGAGGAAGAGAGTACTGTAGATTTAATTTTTTTCCCAAAAAAATCAAATCAAACATCTATTTTTTATTTTTTATATTATACTAAAAATTAATTTTACCTTCAAAACATCACATCAATATCTATTTATATCAAGTTATAAAATTTAAAATTTTTAATGTTCAAATCTCAATTCAAAATCCAAAAACCCCTAACAAACACACCCACTTTTGGTTTTTCAGATATATATGCAAACCAACTTTACCGAGAAGATGTTCCCATTCAATGTTCAAATACATAAACATACATATATATGTGTAGTGTATGTATATATATATGTACACTCGAGCATACATGTGATTTGACACAGTTGCTTTTTCTTTTGCACTGAACCATGGTTAAACCCTGGTTGGTTAATTGGGAGCATCTGGTTAGGCAGGTATGCAGGCACCTACTGTACATAATTAATCCATAAAAAAAAAAAAAAAAAAAACCCTAACCTGTCGAATGATTCTGCAGATATATATATATATATATAATGTGGGTGTGGCCCTTTGTGGTCCTGATAGCTCTCTGCACTGCACTGTCGGGATTTTTTCTTTCTTTCTTTCGTCTTCAAAATGCACTGTTCCCTATTTATCTTTCTTCCTTTTTTTTTTTCAATTTTTGTTCGTTTTGGTGGTCTCATCAACATGACTTAGAGCTCCATTGATTGATTGATTGCCTTTTCCACACCTCCTTCTATCTCTTGCACCTAATTCTCTCCTCTCTTCTCTATTCCTCTCCTCTTCAGAAAAAATTTAAATTAGTTTATAAAATTATCTGGATTGCATATTCCGACCGGGTATGACGTCATCGTATCTGAAATTTAAGAAAGCGGAGGAGGACGAGGATGAGGACGAGGACGACGAGGAGGAGGAAGATGTAGAGGATATTATTGTGGAAGGAGCTGTGAGGGAGAAGAAGACAAAATTGAGCGGCGGAGAAGGTTTGTCCGGCGGCGGTGGTTCGCGGCCGTGCTGCCTGGTGGAGAATTGCGAGGCTGATCTGACCGGGTGTAAGAAGTACCACCAGAGGCACCGGGTCTGCGAGGTCCACGCAAAGGCTCCCGTCGTGTTGGTCGACGGGCTCAGGCAGAGATTCTGTCAGCAGTGCAGCCGGTAAGTGCGTCGCCGTCGTCGTCGAATTGTAAGATTCCGACATTTATTTTGATTTGGGGATTAGGTCTACTGTTTTATTTGGCATCTGTTGGTTGGGCGAAAATTACGACAGGTTTCACGAGGTGTTGGAATTCGACCAGTCGAAGAGGAGCTGCCGGCGGCGATTAGCCGGGCACAACGAGCGGCGCCGGAGGAAGAGCTCGCTGGATTCCGGCAGGGAGGCGGCGGGATCGAGCCGGCGGTTGAAAGAAGTTAAGGGTTCGGACAGGCGGTCCGGTAATCACAACTTGCACATGGTGTAGTTGCTGCTGCATAAGCTCGAATTGCTTGCTCTCTTCTGTCATGATCAATTCTACTATTACTATTACTATTACTATTACTACTACTTCTAATGAGAAAAAATAATGGATTTTGGATTTTGGATTTTTAAGTCGTGTGTGGGTGTGCAGACATTTGGCAAATCTTTTTGTAATTTAAGGTACGTATGTGTATCTCTGTAATAATAATAATAATAATAAGAGATAGTTGGGACCTCTGCAGATGCATAGATAAGATAAGATAAGATGTAATCCTCCTTATTCTTGGAATAAAATATTGATTTCTGCTTGTTTAGTTCCTTCTGTTTATCTCTGGCACTCAAATAACAATGAAAGGGAAGTTAGGTCGGCCGACGACCCACGATACATCCTTAATTAATTCGTTTAGGATCCCTGTCTCTCGTTACGACTGTTTTCATTGTCCTTCCTTCCAAGTACCGTAGCTCTCATTTTGCGCCTCGGCTCATTTGTCAAGTATGGTTCATTTTAAATAGAATTTTACTAGAAAAATGAAGTTTTCAATATAGATAATTATATTTTTATTTTTCCAGAAGAAAGATAAAAAAAAAAAAAAATTAAAATAAGTTTTACCTGATTAATGATTTTATATATTATATAATTAATTAAATAATTTATATTTATTAAATATTTTTCAATTTAATAAATTTTACCTAAAAATAAAAAAATTGTCATTGTTAAACAGACAAAAATTAAAAATGGTAACAAATATTTTTCAATTTAATAAATTTTACCTAAAAATAAAAAAATTGTCATTGTTAAACAGACAAAAATTAAAAATGGTAACAAATATTTTTCAATTTAATAAATTTTACCTAAAAATAAAAAAATTGTCATTGTTAAACAGACAAAAATTAAAAATGGTAACAAGATAGAGGAAGTATAATACAACAGCCTATTCAATAACCATTTCATTTAAAAATGTCAATATTATATGTATACTTTGGTATAAAAAATAAAAAATAAAAAATACTGAATTATGGTAAAAAGTTTGTACAATATGTCCCGTAGGGAGTGGTGCATAGGAAAGACAATTAGCAGGAGTCATGAGGATCTGTTTGCTTGTAAGATTTTACTCTTAATTTTATTATTTTAATATTTTTTTTCTTCTAAAAATATCAAATCAAATATTTAATTTTTATTTATTTTATTATATTAAAATCTAATTTTATATTTAAAACATCACATCAATATATATTTATATCACATCAAAAAATTATTTCAATTTAAAATTTTAATATTCAAAATCAAAACTCAAAACCAAAACCTCACTTATAAACACACCCCTGGGTGTCCTAGTGCTGCTTGGGCTTTGATTGTTTTTGGGCTCTCACTAATTCCAATATCCACATAATACAAAGCTATTTAGCAAGTCCAAAGACAAATTTGGCAATAATGTGGTGTTAGTAGTTTTGGATTTTGATGTCGAACATTTGTCCATCAAACTTCTTTCCAATCAATATTGAAGTTAACATTGTCCACTGAGGATGACCGGTGGCGGAGAGTGAACTTATAACCGTTAGAATCAGGATCCAAATCCGAACCAGCTACCACACATGATTTTCTGAGACTTGCCTTGTCGGATGTAGTTTGCAGAATATTAGGTTCAATCGAGGATTCCACGCCATAATATATATATATATATATATTTGAACTTGACATTTAAATACATAGGTTTCCCCAATAATCTTAAATCTGGAATTCAGTAACCGATTAAGAATGTAAATTACAATGAACATATATGATTGAATGACAAAAATAAAAATCCAGGAAGAACTACCTAAGCTCTTGAGCTCTATCTATCTAATGATCCATCCTTACATAGGTAGGAGACTTATCCAATTATAGATCGATCGACAAGATACAAATATATGAAAATTATGGTATAATCTTATATAAGAAATTAATATGTTAACAGCACCAGAATCAGTTGCAATAATACCATTGGAAAACAGAACGATTGAAGAAGAAGAAGATATAAAATTAAAGCAATACCACCAGCAACAGCTGTGGTCCTACCCAGACAAACGAAAACCAATTCGAAAGGAAATGAAGAAGATGATGATGATGATGATGATGATGATATATGTACCGATGGAGTAAAAAGTGGATCGAATTGCGCGACAACCTTGTCGCCGACGCTGGGGATATGATTTCGAACAACTAATTAACTAATAATGCATCAATGTTGATCCAATTTATTATTGGTAGAAAGGTGTTGAACAGAAATACCTGGATTGGGTTGATGAAACCATCATTATGATTGCAATTCCATCCCCTCCAAGACATCCCTGCAAACCCTAATCATGGCTTCAGCCGCCTATTCTGTTCTGTTCTGTCGCCCGTACACAAAGCTCCCTTTAAATATGTTTTAAAATTAAATATTTAATTTTTTAAAATATAATTTCAAAATTTTTTAAAAACTTCCCTCGATGTGATACTCGCCCTTTAAATAAATGTATTAGTTTTATTTTTACTTTTTTTCTGATATAAGTTTGATGATATATATATATTTTTTAATATGAACTATTATAATTTAATTTTAATTTTTTTTCAAAATGTAACAAAAAATATCATTAAATGATGTTAATGGAACGATTTATACTCCCTCTCCATTGTCGTTAGTTCCCGTTTCCGAGACTCATCCCTCTGGGAATTGTTCGAGACCAATATTCCATCGCGCAACTTAATTTCCTCGACTTCGCAGATACGTTGTTCCACCTCGTCAAGCTTGTCATGATGATCTCCAACGGTCAGCTCCACCCTGGCCAACCTGGTCTCTAATGATCCCAAGATGTCTGCAGGTTGGTCCCTCGTGTTCCTCCGGCTCCGCCTCGGGACCCGGTTTTCAACCTCGTGTTCCTCCACCGCCTATTTATCCGTTTACTTTGTGCACGTAGATTTTATTATATTAGTATTATATTGATACGTGGTACAATTGATATACATAAAGACTATTATATCTCTTAACATTTATGGTATTAAGTGATGTTATTTGATAACATTTGTGTAATATTATATAAAAGGTATAGTAATTTTATATTTTAGTGGAAGATATTACTATTAAAAAAAAAAATATTTGCGATAAACAGACTAAAATGATAAAATGAATAAATTAACAGTGAACGAAAAAAGTATTATATTTTGATTTTATAATTCTTTTTATATATTTAATGGTCAATAATATTTAATTGGGAAGATAGATATATAAATTAGGGGGACAGAAGAAGGCTCTTTGTGAAGTCCTTTCCGACATTGATATGATTAAAGTAGACGGAAGACCATCTTCTTTAATATTGTTTTGTTGCTGTGTTGAATTCCACGTACTGTGCGTTGCACCACTAACTCTACATAAATAAATATATGTAGAAAAAAATAATAAATAGATAAATAATGAATTATTATTATTATTATTATTATTGTGTTGCCATGTGAGGTTGGTGACGGACAATTCTGAAATGGCCAGATTTAGACGATGGAACCAATTCTAGATTACGTTTATTACAAAGTACAGATTTTGAATATTCTACCAATAAAAAATAAATAAAAATCATAATCGTAAATCCACATTTTTTAAAGGATTATTAAGATATTATTTGCGAATGTTCTTCAAGAAGCAAAAGTCATAATGAATTTTTATATTGTTACAAATCTATTATTATTATTATTATTATTTATCTGCAGTGATTTGAGCACAATAAATTGTTATTACCAATTTTAAAAAATAAAAACAGAATAATGGAAATTTCAAAAGAGCAATAAATATTGGTTGAAATTAATTAATTTATTCTAGAAAGAAAATACTATTCCCTAATAATCGACAAAACACGTAATAGATGAAGGTTAATTAATGGTGATGTAATTGATTTTACGCTAACATATATTTAGATATTGGTATTTTTTGTTTTAATACATAAATCTTTTTTTTTTTTTTTTTTTTTACCTTGACAAATTTGAGTTCTGTTTAAATGGATGTATTGAGATTTTTACAGTTTTTTAATATTTTAAAATAGTAAATATTTGAATGTTTAATATAATATTTTTTTTAAAAAAATAAATAAATTGAATGTATTTTTTTTTTTTAAATAAACAATTATTGTCAATCAAAAAGTTTTTCAAAAAGTCTCTATAAACAGTATTTTGATTACTCATTCTACATTTTGATTCAATTATAATTTTTTATGACTAATTTCGTTACAATATTAAATAAATTATCAAGAGTTAAAAGTATTTGTGTTAAGTTTGATTTATTTGTGCTATGTTTATAAAGATAGTTTTAGAATTTTTAGTGCTATTTAATTACAGTATTTTTTTTTTTATAAAATAATAAATTAAATAGTATTTTTTATATATATATAATTTATTTTTTTTCAATACTCCACTGCCAAAACGAAAATTTGGGGTTTGTTTAGATAGGAGTCTTTTTAGGTTTTTAAAATTTTGACAAAAAAAAAAAAATAAATATTAGTATTTGATTTAATATTTTGTGAAAAAAAAAATGTATTTGATATATTATTTTTTAGAAAATAAATAGTATCAAATAAATGAAAGTTTGTTAGGTAAACAAACCCCTTTATAATTGAAATTTTAAAATTGCAAAAATCTTTTGAGCTTATTGTATCTATCAAGTCTTATTAGCTCTTGAGTTGGATCTTAATATAGTCGAATCAAATCAAATACAAGGAAGACATTGGATCAGCACCATGTTGATAGTATAAAAATCATTTATGATAATTTATTTTATCAATTATATAATTAATATAATTATGTATAAATAATATTTACACTATTTTTATATATATTTTTTTTACGAAATTTAAAATTAGTTCCTAATCCTCTCCAAAAAATGTCTAATTCAAATATCAAGTTGGATTTGGTTCCAATTATACAAAATTTAATCATACCAATTGTTATCTCTATTTTTTTACCTCAAGAATGAATGTATACCAATAAATAAGGCTATATTTATATGATATATTTTTTTAAATATTATATTAACCAAATTTTTTATTATTTTTAAATTTTTTTAAAATTTCAAAATAATTATCTAAAACAAGGTAAGAATTAATTATTCACTCAATTTTATTCTTAATTAAAAAATACAAATTAAATATTTTTAATTTTAAATTGTTTATTAAATTAAAATTAAGTTTATATTCAAAATTTTAAATCAATATTTATTTAGATAGTATTAAAAAAATATATTTCATAATTTGCTCATTCCAAATTCAAATCCTTCCATCAAACGAAAGATACACGTATGAGAAAGTTATCCGCATGCGTATCTCTTTCATTTTAATTAAGACAATAATTATTTAATTTTACAACCCAAATCACTTTCAAAATCCCTATTTTATTTTATTACAGGCGAGATAATACATACATATACATACATACATACATAGATCGAGTGAGAGAGAGAGAGAGGCACAAAAATAAAACTAAGTCGATGATGGGGCCATGATGCAGCGCACGGAGGATTAATGGCGGCCCCATACTGATCCTGCCAATTCTCCATCAAATATTTTCGATATATATATATATTCCCGTCTGTATGTAATTCCATTTCCAGGCAGGGATCGGATCTTCAGATTAATCATCACTCGCTGGATCGATCGGAGGATTTCATGGAAAATCCCGGCCGGAGAATCGCCGCCAGTTCCTGCGACAGGTTCTCTTTCCCGATCATAGTTCCGCCGCCGGCGATGGATTCCGATCAGTTCGAGTTCGGCGCCGCCGTCACGGCGCCGGGCTCTCCTACCTCCCCGGCCGATCGCCTCTTTTCCAACGGCAAGCTGCTGCCTCACGTCTTCCCCGTCGCACAACCGCCGGCGCCGGCGGGGGGATTTCAGTTCTCCCGGTCGGCGAGCCGGGCGAGCAGCGCCGGCAGCAAGGATTCGCTTTTCTCGTCGCGCAGCAACAGCACGAGCAGTAATTGCAGCAGCGCCAGGACCAGCACGAGCGAGGCGGCGGCGCCGGCGCCGGAGAGGAAGGTGTCGCCGGCGGCGGCTAGGCAAGATCAGAGGAATCGAATCAGCGGCGGCGGTGGCGGCGGAAGGGTTTCTGGATTGGGGTCTAATCAGTACAGTTACTATTATTCTCCGGGATCGTCTCAGCGGTGGCAGCTGATTGCGGCGGCGCCGGCGGTGCTGAGCCGCCAGAGCTCTCGATCATCGTCCGGCTGCCGGAGGGCGGAGAAGATTGATCGGAGAGTGTCTCCGAAGTCCGGCGGAGGCGGCGGTGCGAAGCCGTGGTTGGGGAGGAGGATTTTGAAGTCGGTGGTGTCGGGGTGCAAAGAATGTCACGCTATTAAATCCAGTATTGCATTAGAGCTGTGAATTTTGATATTTTGATGAAGAAATGTAATTTTAATTAATTTGATTTGTTGAGGGGAGATTCTATTCTGTTCGTGTTATTAATCCGATATATTAGCCATTGAAATTTATTGGTGATCATATATATATATATATATATAGATATATGTGTGTATAATGAAATTTATGTATCTGTGTAAACAGAGCTTGGTTTGATTGATGCCTGATTGTTATTTTCTTGCTTTATATTTGGTTCAACTTATGCTATGGAGAGTAGGAAATTTTATTTTATTTTTTAAAATGGGAATATGCAATTGCTGCTATCCGACCGTCCTGGTAAACCCTAATCTAATATACCGCGTTATCGCGACAAGTCGAATAAGTCTTATCATTTAGAAAGAGGAAAATTTGTAAAATAAATTTTATAGGTGAACCTGCGAAAGGATCATCGTTAATGTCTGCCCCGGCAGACAACAGCTTACTCGTGACCCGACGTACGAATGCCGCTCAGGTCGTCGATCGAGACTGAGTGGACGCCACGCGTCCAAAAAAACTCATGAACGGATTTTCGTACATATGTAGGCAGCAAAAATAAGATTTCCTGCGAACCACGTCGCGGCCAGGAATCGCGAAACGACGACCCCGTCAGCCGCTAACGGAGCCGTCGTCCAGCCGAATTTTGTGAACAGGGGTTCGCGTACGGGCGCCGACGAACCCGCGTCATCGCGAGAAGTCGAATAAGCCTTATCATTGAGAGAAAGGAGAATTCGTAAAATGAATTTTATAGGTGAACCTGTGTAAGGATCATAGTCGATGTCTGCCCTGGCAGACAACATCGAACTCATGACCCGATGTACGAATGGCGCTCAGGCCGTCCATCAAGACTGAGTGGGCGCCACGCGTCGCAAAAAACTCCTGAATGGATTTTCGTTCACACGTAGGCAGCAAAAATGGGATTTCCTGCGATCCACGTCGCGGCCAGTAATCGCGAACGACGGCCCCGTCAGCCGCTCACGGAACCGTCGTCCAGGCAAATTTTGCGAACGGGGGTTCGCGCACGGGCGCCGACGAACCCGCGTCATCGCGAGAAGTCGAATAAACCTTATCGTTGAGAGAAAGGAGAATTCGTAAAATAAATTCTATAGGTGAACCTGCGAAAGGATCATCGTCGATGTCTGCCACGGCAGACAACAGCGTACTCGTGATCCGACATACGAATACCGCTCAGGCCGTCGATCGAGACTGAGTGGGCGCCACATGTCCCAAAAAACTCCTGCACGGATTTTCGTACATATGTAGGCAGCAAAAATGAGATTTCCTGCGAACCACGTCGCGTCCAGGAATCGCGAACGACGACCCCGTTAGCCGCTGACGGAGCCGTCGTCCAGTTTGCGAACGGGGGTTCGCGCACGGGCGCCGACGAACCCGCGGCATTGCGAGAATTCGAATTAGCCTTATCGTTGAGAGAAAGAAGAATTCGTAAAATGAATTCTATAGGTGAACCTGCGAAAGGATCATTGTCGATGTCTGCCCTGGCAGACAACAGCGAACTCGTGACCCGATGTACGAATGGCGCTCAGGCCGTCCACCGAGACTGAGTGCAGGCCACGCGTCCCAAAAAACTCCTGAATGGATTTTCGTGCAGACGTAGACAGCAAAAATTGGATTTCCTTTGATCCACGTCGCGGCCAGTAATCGCAAACGACGACCCCGTCAGCCGCTCACGGAGCCGTCGTCCAGCCAAATTTTGCGAACGGGCGTTCCCGCACGGGCGCCAATGAACCCGCGTCATCGCGAGAAGTCGGATAAGCCTTATCATTGAGAGAAAGGAGAATTCGTAAAATGAATTCTATAGGTGAACCTGCAAAAAGATCATCGTCGATGTCTGCCCCGGCAGACAACAGCGTACTCGTGACCCGACGTACGAATGCCACTCAGGCCGTCGATCGAGACTGGGTGGGCGCCAAGGGTTCCAAAAAACTCCTGCACAGATTTTCGTTCATATGTAGGCAGCAAAAATGGGATTTCTTGCGAACCACGTCCTGGACAGGAATCGCGAACGACGACCCCATCAGCCGCTCACAGAGTCGTCGTCCAGCGAAATTTTGCGAACGAATGTTCGCGCACGGGCGCCGACGAACCCGCGTCATCGCGAGAAGTCGAATAAGCCTTATCGTTGAGAGAAAGGAGAATTCGTAAAATGAATTGTATAGGTGAACCTGTGAAAGGATCATTGTCGATGTATGCCCTTGCAGACAACAGCGAACTCGTGACCCGACGTACGAATGGCGCTCGGGCCGTCCATCGAGATAGAGTGGGCGCCACGCGTCGCAAAGAACTCTTGAACGGATTTTTGTGCACATGTAGGAAGCAAAAATGGAATTTCCTGCGGTCCACGTTGCGGCCAGGAATTGTGAACGACGACCCCGTCAGCCGCTCACAGAGCCGTCGTCCAACTGAATTTTGCAAACGGAAGTTCACGAACGGGCACCGACGAACCCTCGTCATCGCGAGAAGTCGAATAAGCCTTATCGTTGAGAGAGAGAAGAATTCGAAAAATGAATTCTATAGGTGAACCTGCGAAAGGATCATCATCGATGTCTGCCCCGGCAAACAATAGCGTACTCGTGACCCGACGTAGAATGCCGCTCAGGCCATCGATCGAGGCTAAGTGGGCGCCACGCTTCCCAAAAAACTCCTGCACGAATTTTTGTGCATATGTAGGCAGCAAAAATGGGATTTCCAGCGATCCACGTCGCGGCCAGGAATCGCGAGCAACGACCCCGTCAGCCGCTGACGAAGCCTTCGTCCAGCCGAATTTTACGAACGGGGTTCGCACACGGACGCTGACGAACCCGCGTCATCGTGAGAAGTCGAACAAGCCTTATCGTTGAGAGAAAGGAGAATTCGTAAAATGAATTGTATAGGTGAACCTGTGAAAGGATCATTGTCGATGTCTGCCTTGACAGACAACACCGAACTCGTGACCCGACGTACGAATGGTGCTCAGGCCGTCCATCGAGACTGAGTGGGCGCCACGCGTCGCAAAAAACTCCTGAACGGATTTTTGTGCACATGTAGGAAGCAAAAATGGAATTTCCTGCGATCGAAGTTGCGGCAAGGAATCGTCAACGACGACCCCGTCAGCCGCTCACAGAGCCGTCGTCCAACTGCATTTTGCGAACCGTAGTTCGCGCACGGGCGCCGACGAACCCTCGTCATCGCGAGAAGTCGAATAAGCATATCTTTAAGAGAGATAAGAATTCAAAAAATGAATTCTATAGGTGAACCTGCGAAAGGATCATCGTCGATGTCTGCCCCGGCAGACAACAGCGTACTCGTGATCCGACGTAGAATGCCGCTCAGGCCGTCGATCGAGGCTAAGTGGGCGCCACGCTTCCTAAAAAACTCATGCACAGATTTTTGTGCATATGTAGGCAGCAAAAATGAGATTTCCAGCAATCCACGTCACGGCCAGGAATCGCGAACGACGACCCCGTCAGCCGCTGACGGATCCGTCGTCCAGCCGAATTTTACGAACGGGGGTTCGCACACGGATGCTGACGAACCCGCGTCATCGCGAGAAGTCGAACAAGCCTTATCGTTGAGAGAAAGAAGAATTCGTAAAATGAATTGTATAGGTGAACCTGTGAAAGGATCATTGTCGATGTCTGCCCTGGCAGACAATAGCGAACTCGTAACCCGACGTACGAATGGCGCTCAGGCCGTCCATCGAGACAGAGTGGGCGCCACGCGTCGCAAAGAACTCCTTAACGGATGTTTGTGCACACGTAGGAAGCAAAAATGGAATTTTCTGCGATCCACGTTGCGGCCAGGAATCGTGAACGACGACCCCGTCAGCCGCTCACAGAGCCGTCGTCCAACTGAATTTTGCAAACGGAAGTTCGTGCACGGGCGTCAACGAACCCTCGTCATCGCGAGAAGTCGAATAAGCCTTATCGTTGAGAGAGAGAAGAATTCGAAAAATGATTTGTATAGGTGAACCTGTGAAAGGATCATTTTCGATGTATTTCGCGCACGGGCGCCGACGAACCCGCGTCATCGCGAGAAGTCAAATAAGCCTTATCATTGAGAGAAAGGAGAATTCGTAAAATGAATCCTAGAGGTGAACCTGTAAAGGATCATCGTCGATGTCTGCCTCGGCAGAAAACAGCGTACTCGTTACCCGACATACGAATGCCGCGCAGGCCGTCGATCGAGACTGAGTGGGCGCTACGCGTCGTTATAAACTCCTGAACGGATTTTCGTGCACATGTAGGAAGCAAAAATGGAATTTCCTGCGATCCATGTCGCGGCCAGGAATCGCGATCGACGACCCCGTCAGCCGCTCACAGAGCTGTCGTCCAGCCGACTTTTGTGAACGGAAGTTCACGTCCAGGTGCCGACGAACCCGCGTCATCGCGAGTAGTTGAATAAGCCTTATTGTTGAGAGAAAGGAGAATTCGTAAAATGATTCCTATAGGTGAACCTTCGAAAGGATCATCGTCGATGTCTGGCCCGGCAGAAAACAGCGTACCCGTGACCCGACGTACGAATGCCGTGCAGGCCGTCGATCGAGACTGAGTGGGCGCCACGCGTCGCTATAAACTCCTGAACGAATTTTCGTGCACATGTAGGAAGCAAAAACGGAATTTTCAACGATCCACGCCGCGTTCGGGAATCGCGATCGACGTCCCCGTCAGCAGCTCACAGAGCCGTCGTCCAGCCGACTTTTGTGAATGGAAGTTTGCGCACGGGTGCCGACGAACCCGCGTCATCGTGATAAGTTGAATAAACCTTATCGTTGAGAGAAATGAGAATTCATAAAATGAATACTATAGGTGAACCTGCGAAAGGATCATCGTCGATGTCTGGCCCGTCAGAAAATAGCGTACCCGTGACCCGATGTACGAATGCCGCGCAGGCCGTCGATCGAGACTGAGTGGGCGTCACGCGTCCCAAAAAACTCCTGCACGGATTTTTGTGCATATATATGCAGAAAAAATGGGATTTCCTGCGAACCA